ATCAGAGCTGGACGCTTAAGAAGGTACCTCTGTGCCAAGCTGACTCCTCATGGTTTGAAATTCTGTATCAAGAAAAGTATTTTAAAATTGTTTGAATTATGAATCCAAACTCGTACTAGCCATAAATTCTGCTCTTATCCAGGAGATTGTGATGCATTTGGGCTTTCTGGTCAGACTTAAAAAATGGGAGTGAATCTTCATTCAGTGTCAAGTATGATGAGTTTGTGAATGTGAACAATTACCAATCTTTATCGTATTGCTATCTGTATTGCAGCTGGTCCTAGTGGATTGCATTTAAGCAGTCCCAAACGGAAGCGTGTTTGCCCAACCTGTGAATCCCAAACTCCAACCCTACCTCAATCTGCCAAACGATTACGACGTGAAGCAACCTCAGCGACTGTTGCCACCTCCACTCTTTCCACTCCTGAAGACACTCTTCTAGAATCACTAAGAATCAGTCCTGAGCCCAAGTTGCCTACACCGCCACGGTCACCCAGTACATCACTGCTACCAACGCTACCTACATTCTCCAGACACTCACCACCATTGGGAACAATGACTAACAGACTTTCTCATGTATCAGTGGTACAGAGCCATACAGGTAGTGCTATGTCATGTGGACTATCAACCAGTGTACCTAACCGAGTCTACAACACACCACTCACAGAGACAAGATACGGGTCTATACCTTCAACTTCCAATCAGGTGAGCTTGCTAGTTGAGTTTATGCTTTGGTTGAGTCAGTCAAGGATGCTGTACAATGATGACATGTTGTGCAGGGGTCTGATCGATCCAGCTCGTATCATGAATGGCTGGCCCGTGATCTTTACACTGATATCTACAGTGCCTGCATGTGGTGGGCCAGGGTTTCAGTGTTGAAGTCATGGTAGACACAACGCACACTGCTGAGTTACAACCATAAACAGAAATCCATCACTCTTAACTGAGTTACAAATGAAGATTGAGAGCTGGGTATCAAAATGCTTCGTTCATTGAAACTTGATCACCAATAATCAGAGTGGTTTTTCAACAATGCATTTTGAATCATTTTTTTTTTAAATTCCATTTCATTGTAAAGAAACAGCTGTTACATTTTGTTGACCCGAACCAAGGTGCTTTTTGTGCAGTTTGAGAAGTACTTTGATAAATAATGGGTTAATTTAGTCACATAAAGAAAAAGAATTTAACTTTGGTCTTTATTTTGGCCTTCCTCCTCCGCAGTCAATGCCCATGATGCACATGCGTACAGATGAACATCTGATGAGAGAGAACACTGAAGAGATCACTCAATCACAGTTGTATCGCATTGCACCTCTCATCCAACCCCACTGGCTCAAGGTGGCTCGCTTCGTCCGTGATGATGAAACCCTTGAAGCAGATCTGAAAGCCATCAGAGAGAACTATACAGGGCCTGAGGAACAAGCTGTACAGATGCTGCTACAATGGAGGGATAAATGCCCTGACATATGCACCAAGGGCAGGTTGTATGCTGCATTGTGTGATCTGAATCTTAAGACAATTGCTAAGAAATGTAATCAGGTGTATAATAGGAGCTGATAGACTGGCCCCTTGGATTGATGATGAGTCCCATCAAGGCATTGGACAGGTAGTGGCTCATTTTGTAGTGTCTTATCAGCGATCATGCAGTTTTGGGCCCGGTTCCCTATAAGAGAACAAAATCCACTTTTAATTTATTTGACTTAACAAACTAGTTTGCCACATTAAGAGCATCCAGGTATAGATAGAGGGCAGCGTTTTTAATTTTAGATGGAAATGTTGAAGTTAAATTTGCAATGACAATAGAAAAACGCAACACGAAAATAAAGATAGCAATCACTGCCGCGATGTACCATTTACGCCCAAGGCGCGCTGAATTACACACCAACCGTAAAGCCGTATCATAATTTCTACCCAAAGAAACTGTTCCAAATCACAAAAAAGGTGTCATTAAAATTGAGAGAAGTCTGCTTTAGGTAGAAAAAGTCTTTTTTGAAAGATAATAAACACCTTTGACTCTAATTTGATCGAAACTAAATCGAGGCCCGTAACTACGCGATCGCTGTCTTATCCATGGCCACGTGTCAATGGTAGCCACAGCCAGATGCCAATTGTAGCCATTACATGAATTCGTCCAAGTTTGTCCAGTATGGCCACCTGCTGCCTACCAAATTGGTTTTTAACTAGCTGTATATTTTTACTTTTGATATCTTCATTGGAATGGATACTGAAATATACGAATGATGACACTCTAGTCAAATCTATGGTTAGGATTTCCCGGCGACTTATTATGTGGAGCAGAATCTGCCCTCCCCCAAAAAAACAAACAAACCTTTGACTACATTCAATACTTTTAAAAAAATAAAGTACATCATCCAGAAAACGAGCCAGGTTTTTTTTTTTTTTATCAGAACAGTACTTCAGTATGCGATCATTATTCAGTACAAGCTTAGTCCAGCTATTTACTTGACCATTTCCGAAAATGACACCTGTAACTGTATAATTACATTGTATACCCTCACAGGAACACTCAATCCCATTACAAAAAACTCAGGAATGTAAATTAATAAATATGGTAAATCCTTAAGTGACAGAAATGGCAAGGCGTCATTTTATTTAGAAGTAAAATTTGTAATTGTTTCTTTTGTCACAAGAGGGCTTTCGTGAGAAGTTGTGGGCTCTCCATTATGTTTATCTGTTTCGGGTTCAGATTAGTTTTTTTTTAGGTATTGTACGTATATCAAATGACGTCCCTTGAGATTAAGTGATCTGTAAATAAGCAAAAAGGTTTCACACTAGCTGCCTGAAAGGTGCATTCATTTCTAATGAAGATTTTTTTGTTTTTAAAACTGAACATTTCTTGTTCCATATTTAAAAAAAAAAATGGGCAGAAATTAATTCTTGATGGAGGTACTACTGTGTATTACTATTAATTCCAAGGTTGCAGGTCCTCAACATGTGGTTTTTAAACAAACACAGGATATTGTAAATAGTCTTTGTATAAATAATGAGATTTTATAGAGTTTTACATACATGGAAGTGTACTGTGCTGTTTTGAGAGATATTTTTTATGGAAACTTTGTATCTACGAATGAATATTCGATAGATATTTGTGAATATGTTTGTTTCGTTAATAGCCACAGATATGTGCTGCTATGCATGCTATCTCTTAGTGGTATGCATTACGTTATTTCAAAGCCAGTTGCTTGGTCATATCTTGGACAAATTTGGCAGAGTACTTTATTACAGTACATAATTTAATATCCAAATTGTCACGTTTATATCCCGTAAAAATACTGTGTAGATAACAAGGATTTCTTAATGACTGTTCAGGTTGATGTACTGTCTGGGGGAGGGATGTGACAATTACACTCTTAAACTTTTAAACACAAAAATTCTAATCCGTTATACAAATTTTCCAAAAACGTTTTAACGAAACCCGAATTATAAAATAGGGACCTACGTTCATCGTTCATGTAGTCTTACTTTGATTTAAACTTACATAGCACAAATAATTAACAATGTTTTCAAACCTATTTCAATTACAAAACCTTTGAAGCACTTCAATACTTGATTTCATTCGGGGCACAGGTGTTTATGTTTTTGCTTTTTCAGTGACTGCCATTGTTGATTTATTATGTCAATTACACTGGTCTGCAGACATAATGAGCATACGTCAGCCTTTGGGGGTGGCTTAACAATTAAAAAACGGTTCTTAAAATATTTGCTAAACGTTTACAAAATTAAATGCAAAGTCACATCCTTAGTCCTGGTTTTTTATGTTTTTTTATTTTCTAATCTAAATTGCGTACTGTATTTTAAAGTTGTATTCCTTAAACCCCATCTTTGTGTGGATTTTTTTCAGACAACTGTAAGCCACGTAATTTATTGTCTCTCTTTCACAGCGTTAACTTTTTAAAGGCATTTTGTAATGTCACAATTCTGTAAACAATCTAAACCAAAAGTTAACCATAAATAAAATATAATCAACTCAAACAACAAAAGTTGTACAAAGTGGGTGACTGCTGTCACATTGGTAAACTTAGGTGTGCATTGTTTGGATTTGCCATCTTTCTAAAGTCGCCTGTGGCTAAATGAAATATTTGCCCTAGAAATACATGTACTGCTTACAGGAACTCATTGTCAATCTTCTAATTTACATACATGTAGTACTTCATTTGTCTCTCCAGTATTTCTTTTTTTAATAGTACTTTTCAAACCAGAATTATAACATTTGTACTGATGTTTGTATCATTGATAGATGACCAACTAATTTGCTTATGTTTACTTGTTCATATCATGGGTTTGTGTTTAAGTTTGAAGTGTGCACAAGTAGCTACTTGGACCCTTGTTGACAGTTCTGATCTGCTCGGTTGTAAGAATTTATTGTTATCTATACAATAATGGAATCAAATAAATGCATTTTATTGATACAAATATCTCGTCTTTAGTCCCCACTTTTGGTGTGAATCACTGTGTCCTAATTAATTTTTTTTAAATAAATGAATAAAGCTATCAAAACACTTTTATGCAAGGGAAAAGTCCAAAATTTAATACAGATAATTTCTGTCCTTTTTTTTCATATTGATCATCATCATCAGTCACATCAGCTGTTTAAAAACTAGACATTCAATAGAGGGCGCTGTAAAGTTTAACCGTGAAAAGTATGACCAGGGCCAGGGTGACCTGTTTTTATTTATCTGTAGTCTAGTCGAATTCGAAGGTTCATGAACAAAATCCTCAACACATTAAAAGATCGAAATACCGGAAGAAGTTTTTTTTTTAAATATAGGAAAAAGTCTATTTATACTTTTCACAATGACATGTGTTATAAAAAACAAAAAACCAGAATTCTATGACAAATACAATAAAAATGCCAAATTGGTGAATTGTGGGTTTGTGGGCGTGTCCCCTAACATGTACACAGCGCGTAGCGCGTACGAGCTAAAGCATCACGTGACAAATCAACCAATCAGAATCAAGCCTCGTTGGTGGATGCCATGCCATTTTTATTCTGATATCGATAGCGATTCGGCTCGCCGGGATCCGGTAGGTGAGTCACGCTAAAACTCTTCTACCGAAACATTTACCGCAAAAACGAAACCAGCAAACGCTTCCACACTCTGAATTTCTTTTCACGAGCATGAGAAGTCTGAGAGCTCACAAGCAAACATTTTGACGATATTGGCTCCAATTTTGGTTCAGAGACAGTTGTGAACTTCAGTTGGAAGTTCGTATGGTAAAACGTGGCTTGTGCATATCGCGTTGCTATTGAGTGCGGAAGTAGTCAGGAATCAAAATGGCGGCAGCGGAGTTGAAATATTTGATTGTAGACAAGGATTTGGTGAGTGATCCAGCATCTCAGGCAGAATGGACGTCCAAGAGACTTGTCTGGGTACCGGACGAGGTCCATGGCTTCGTGGCAGCAAGCATCAAAAGCGAGAAAGGCGACAACATCACGGTAGAAATCGCCGACAATAACAAGTCTCGCGTTGTGAACAAGGATGACATTCAGAAGATGAACCCTCCCAAGTTCAACAAAGTGGAGGATATGGCCGAGTTGACCTGTCTGAATGAAGCATCAGTTCTCTACAATCTCAAAGACAGATACTACTCTGGCCTTATTTATGTAAGTCACATTTTTTTATACCCGTTAGGCCTATAGCCAGGCTATGATTTTATTCCGAAGTTCCCCAAATTTAAGATTTAACACTAACACAGCAGGCACTAGTGACACTGCAGGCAGAGAAATGTAAATCAAAAGACAACAATAATTAAGACAACAATAATTAAGACAACAATAATTTAATGCCACTTTTACTTTTGGTTTTAATAAAACAGGAAAAGATTACCATATCTGGCTATCACTTGTCACCCTGTGCACAAACCCTATGAGACTGTCTGACTAACCAAAATTCTGTCAGGGAATTTTTTTTTAATCATATGGAGGCGTCCGTGTGTTGTCAAAGGTAAAAGTTAGAAATTGATGTTTTTCGTTTTTTCCCCCTCTTTTTGCCCATAAAAAAATTAGGGTAGGGGCTGTCCGAATAGGGTAGGTAGGGTAACCGGAGGTAGGGTAACCGGAAGCAGAACAATTTTTTTTGGCCTTATCAAGGACAAACAAATAACAGTTCTGCTTCCAGTTACCGTACATGTATCTGCCCTATTTTGACAACCAAATCCATCAATTAAGTTTACCCTTGACTACAGCAGACACATTATGGTCAACACTCAAAAAAATTCTGAAAAAAAAAATCTCTGCCTACCAACCCTATTTTCAAATGCCATTTAATCAGAGGCAGTTTTGTTTTTTTGGCCTAGTAAGTAGTATTGAGAGTGTTGCGCATTGAAACAGTTGTATGCAAATGCAAACTTTCCAGAGGTCCATGAGGATTAAAATAGAATAACAATCCTGGCATAATGTGAACTTCTGACAGAATTTTGGTTTGTCAGACAGATTTCTCATGCATGAATGCTTCCGCACTTCATGGCTGCCAGGAATCTTGCGATAAAAGAAGCCCATAGTGTCCGCATACCAGAGGACAATAGGCTACCACAGCTTGAATCCTGAGCCAAACTGGGCCACTGTTTGCTCAGTGATCAGGCAGATTAAAATTTTAAAAAAGTCACTTACACACCCCGAATTTATAATATTATTTTACCTGACACTGCTGACAGACTATAGTTACCCATCAACTCAATCCTGTATCTCTCATTCGTGGTGTGATATGTAATTATGTTAATTATTTATATGTCAATATGTGGATTGGGTTTTCAGTCCCTACCTGATTCAGTGGGTTTTCCCCAGAATATCTTCTGGGCTTTCCTCCCATCTCTAAAACTGTAATTTCTTCTCATTGTCTTCTCTCTAAGTTGGTGTGACATTTGCCCTGGGATGCTTTACTGACTATAATGATACAGATACAGCTATACAGATACTTACTGCACTGAAGTGGCAGGTTTTTATTGAGCAACTTGAAAAAGAAAAAGAGAATCAATATTTTCATTTCCCCTATTATTGTACTCCTATGCATGAGCACTCTTTTTTTATTTACATTTTTAGACGTTGTTAGGTTAATAGAAGAAAACTAATTCAATTACAAAATTTAGGAATATTTTGATGTTCTTTTTGTCACTGTTCTTGTTGGTTTCAGCCTTTTGAACTAAATTCCCTCTCAAATTTTGATTGAATTTATGTGACAAAATTTTAAATTGCCTTTGAAAATATTTGACATTCAATGGGCTTTAAATTCTGCAGAGCCTGCCATCTCAAATGGTACTTGCATACAATTTACTCATTCCATCATTGAATGAACTAACCGCATTTAAGTTAGAAAACTTCAATGGGTCATGACATCCCTATATGTCAGAGGTCAGGTGAGGTCACTGACCTCTAGACTAAGCCACTTTTGATAAATGCCAGTCAGTCTGGGCTTATACATGTGCTTTAGTAGAAAGCCTTGAGGAATAATCTGAGCGTGTAGGAATGCAAGGAGACCTGTTAGTGGGACCCCTTGGATGGTTTAGGGAGAGCTTGGTGTTTCTGAAGGGCATCTGGGTAGATTGAGTTGAAACTTTGGGTCTTGGCCTGCTTCAAACTTTAGTAACTTCCCCTTTTGAATCCAATTACATTCAGCTGTCAAAATAAATCTGGCTCCATGCAACAAGATCAGCTAAACAAGATCTTGTGTTCACTAAAGATCCTAAAGTCCAATAGAATGTGCGCAGTGTTGGATGCTGTGAAACCAGCTAACATTGATAAATCATAGCTGAAAAAAAAGAACGAAATTGTTAACTGGTGAGTCATAGTTACATGTATGTAGTCTGTGGTTTGGATTGCCATGCTGATTCCTAAGAGAACTTGTCTGCAATTATAAAAAAAAATTGGGGGATAGTGGTTCAAAAACCAGACTATTTTTCATGTACATAAGCATGTACCGGTATATGTACTTGACTTAGTATTGATTACTGTGATGCAGTATGACAGGATGATTCCTATAGCTAGCTTACCATTGTAAGTGTCTGGTGTCGTAGACAGAGTGTCTGCATCAAGCTTTGTGTTATGACTAAGAAATTACTTATTGTAGCTGTCAGTAACAGTCGTCAACAATTGGCAGTGAAGTCATGATCACCTTAAAGTTTCTGTCAATACATGTCATGTCAAGTCGTAGTCTACGATATATCCCTTTGCACTGCAAGGGTCCATGATATGCGAGCAGATTTGATGATTAATTGCAAAATAAGACTGCATCTTGACATATCCAGATTCTGACCATTCAGCAAGCATCTTCAGGTCTTCAGCACAAAAGCATGGCAGCCAAATCGACCAATCAACAGCTTAGTCCATATTTCTGATCGAAAAGATGTTAGTTATTGTATTAGGAACTTATCCAAATCCACCTAAATCATTACAGTGCAATCAAAGCCAATCAGCCATTCTATGTACTTTAACAGATTTGGGACTTGAAACCCCACCTCAAGCAATAGCAGTAAGTGTCTTATGAATATTTAAAACAAAACGTACTGACAAGTGTAGTCAGTGTTGGATCATGACCTCAGGAAGTGAAAACAATGACATTGAATGATCCTACCTTGTAATTGCATTGAGTTTACCAGACTGTGAACAGACTAAACACCAAATACCACAAGAATGTCTGGAAGGAATTTACTTATTGTATTATTAAAGGGGCAAACCCCAGGCTTCCTTTACAGGTGCACTCTGGTTGATACAATGTACCCCGGTACCATGCCAGTAATGGCTTCTGCTTGTAGTCGCTGGATTAGTCTATTTATTACTTCACATTTCCAAAACTAACTTCAAAAAATCTGTTTTACTGCAAATTTGGCTTTCACACCTGTGGTTCCCTTATGGGGGTGTTTACCTCAAATATGTGAAGGTCACATGTCAACCACGCAAAGCATTTCGGAGTACTCTGCCCCGGAAGTGATATGGCTAAATACTGATTCATTGCAGGGGTACAATTGTGCATTCTTGTCAAGTGTGTCAACTGTTTTCAAATCATAATACATTTTGTAATTGTGAGGTTGATAAAGTCATACAGGTACATTTTTACCTTTTTTTGCATGTTACATACGTGTACATTGTCATTGCCCTTACTGTGTGTAATTTAAATCTATCAAATCATATCAAAATTTCTTAAAGCCACATTTAAGTGAAATAATTTCCTCAAACGTTAGTGACCAACATATATCAAGACTAGTCAGCGCATGTGACTCCAAACAATGATGTCACACAAATACAGCATTCAGACCAAATAACTTATAGCTCTAAACATTATTAGTTAGGAATGGGCATGGGAAGGGTTATGAACAGTGCCTGAATACAGCCAGCAAAACTGAGCGCTAAAGTAGACTGTAACTCCTCAATGACCCATTTACCCATCAGATAAAATCATAATGGTCGTCGCTCTTGTCAGTGTGTCAGTAACCAGATAATTTAACCAACACTTCTTGATATCATACATTGCATTGTTCAACTCATAAAGCCACTCTTCAGTGTAACCTGGCTGTCACAGCTGGAATCGGTAAGGAGTGGCAACTGAGGACACTGCAAGGTCAAATTCTATTCCCAATACTGTAGTTGTGTCTGTCTGCTTGCATATATCTAGAATTTTAAAGAGTACATGGTAGATATTTGTGGTGGTCTTCAAATGTTTACAAGTTTAGAAGCATTGATTTGTCACTGTGTTTTCACTGTTGATGGCATTGCGTTTAGCAGCAAAATTATTTGTGTAACTAAAATCAGTGTTCATAATTAAAACAACTTTGTCTTAAACTTACATTTTGTAGTTCATAAAAGAAAGGGGTTTTTTGAGACAAAATATTTGTGTTGGGCCAGTGGTAACTTTGGGTATGGGGTTGGAAGCAAACATTAAAATACAGGAGAACAATGTCAAACCATATACGGTACATGTACATACATTGAAGTGTCTACTAAATGATTGTCTGCTTCATCAGTTCCTTAAATTTGTCGCTGGTTGTCAGAATTGGTCACTTAAATCACATGCATTTGGTAGTAATAAACACTCTCTATTACTAATACTAAGACCCACTGTTATTTTGCTTACTTGATGCGGGAAAACACAGGCCCTGTCCTTACTTGGAAGAATTTGGTTAAAAACACAATGCAAATGCCCTTGTGACGCCAACAGTAAAAGCCTCACTATAATTGCTTTTCACTCGCTAAAAACCAACCAACATTGTTGTGTAATTGACACAAAACAAGTCTACACAGAGAGAAATCCATTCCAGGGGTCTTTTAACTCTGTTGTCTGTCTGTTTGTGTGCTTGTTTTTTTTTTTTAATTTCCTTGGGCGGTTCTTTCATGAGTGTAGTGTGGTCATTGCAGGGAAGCCTAGAGGCTGGAGTGAATACCAGCAGATGATCCAATGAAAAGGCAAAGTAATGGGCCCACCAGACTTGAATTGCATGCAGTGCTGCACAACTCCATTGATTAGGAATGCTAGTTGGTCTCTTAAAGTGCAGTCCACCTTCAATCTAGCGCAGGAGACGTCCACCAAGATGGGTTGACGAAAGCAATCTCAACACGCATGACTGACATAATAAAGCATATGATGTACATGTATGGACTTGAGTGTGTTTTTGTAGACGTCATTCTGGGGAAAGTTAATGCAATGACATAATTTGGGTGAATGGAGAAATGTAACAAGCATGGCTTGACATCCAAATAATTGAATGGATTATGTGACAGATTCTTGCAAATTTGCTACTTCATATTGATTGTAATAGCACATTTGATTTCTCCCATACCTATAGCTATATGTACGTGTTCCTTAATACTTTTTACACTTCAGTGCTATCGACGTACCAGGAATCTTAGCAGAAAAAAAGCTGCTTCTGGGTACTTAATTCTTTTGGTATTTTCGTTAAACTCCTAGAATGCTTTTGAACTTCAAAATTGTTCTCCAAATCACATGTTTATCCATGATATGCTACATTTTTAACCCTAACCTTCCCAAATCAAAATCAGCTTTGCTCAGCTTTGCTCAGCTTTGCTCAGCCGTGCATACATTAGGCCTAGATTATACTTGAAATCTTCCGCACTGCTCCAGGATGTCACTGGCTCTGCCTCAACATATTGACAGTGATTGTCGGAGGATTTTGCAGGATTGAGGCAGTGGTCTCCCCTCCAAGAAACACATTCAAGAAAGAACGTAAATTTTGGAGGATTGATGCTGTATGCTATTTGTACATGGAGGAAGTTGAAGGATTTTGCAGCATTGAGGTTACATCCCAGCAAAAATGCCTCGCAGGGTTAATTAATGAGATCAATGAATTAATTATAATTACCAAAGCTTGAAGCTATTTTGTATGCAGTCTTTGTCCATTGTATACCTCCATACATTACCTTCAAAGGAATATATTGCTATAAAATGTTCTTTTTCTCTCTCTTGTGCAGACATATTCCGGCTTGTTCTGTGTTGTGGTCAACCCTTACAAGAAGCTACCCATTTACTCAGAGAAGGTCATTGAGCTCTACAAGGGCAAGAAGCGTCATGAGGTGCCTCCTCACGTCTATGCTATCACAGATACTGCATATCATAGCATGCTGCAAGGTGAGTCCGAGACTAGGCAGTGTCTCAAGTCTTGAGTGCCCATTCTAGACTTCTTCATGCTTAAAGTCTGAGAGTAGACATTACCGAGTCTTAAGATTTGAACACTCATACTCGGCTTCTCAGTTCGTAGAGTCTGAGACTAGACACTACTGCGTCTCAAGTCTTGAGTGCCCATTCTAGACTTCTTCATGCTTAAAGTCTGAGAGAAGACATTACTGAGTTTTAAGTGTTGAACACTCATACTCGGCTTCTCAGTTCGTAGAGTCTGAGACTAGACACTACTGCGTCTCAAGTCTTGAGTGCCCATTCTAGACTTCTTCATGCTTAGAGTCTGAGAGAAGACATTACTGAGTTTTAAGTGTTGAACACTCATACTCGGCTTCTCAGTTAGTAGAGTCGAAGGCCAGACACCAATGAGTCTTGAGCACTCGTTTGTGATTTTCACATCTTTTGGAACTGATTCCTTCCCAGTTCAGTGCCCAATAGTGGTTACCATAGTAAATTCAAGTCAATCACCATTGTTGATTGTTTGACATAGTCTAGAGTTCATGCTGGAGTTACCCACAAGCATTGCTTATCTGTCAGTATACATACTGAACATAAAGGAAAAGCCTTACCCATGATCATGTGGTAAGCAGTTATTGCTTGACATATTAAATAACTTGCATGTGTTTAAGGCAAGGCTCCTGCCAACTCTGACATTGATGACCTAAAGAGGTTAAAACTCTGGTAGTATTGATTAGAGAGTTCTGATCTACTTCCAAGCTACAAGCTAAGTGTTGCTACTCAAGCAAGCTCTTTTGTGTTAATGACATACATGTAGCTCCAGAGCTGTTGACGTTAAGGTCAAAATAGATAGTTCTAAAGAACAACCCATTGATAAATACTCATGAAGGTTTGCGGTAACACCATGTAGACATCTCTTTTGGGAAGATGTGTGGTTCTGAAAAGAACCAGTGTTTTTTTTCTTCAGAACCACACATCTTCCCAAAAGAGATTTCTAGATGGTGTTACTGCAAACCTTTACTAGTTCATACCACCACCATGCAAAGTTGCATACATTGATACATGTAAATAACCAAATTGTCATCCGTCAGAGTTGAGTTGAAACTGAAAGCATACACAGACATTCATCACACGCACATGTACGGTATGCGTGAATATGGATTCATGTCTGCGCCATACGTGCCAATTTACTGTTTACATTTGACTGGTTTCAGTTGGAATTGACTGCCCACTACTTGTGCTGGTACATGTACATGTATAGTACACATTTAACTTGGCAATAATGAATTCAGTTGTATTGAGGTTATGTCTACAGTCATCAAGGTTTTGCTTAAATAGACTTGTGTTGTTGTACTTAAATAACAACCCTGACAATTGCAAAGCCACAAAACTGCACTGTGCGTGTGTACATACATACATGTACATGTGTATGCAACCATGCTTCTGGTAAATGTATGCAGCCACGCCTCTTTTTGAGATAGGCCTACAAGAAGCCCCACCCAGCAGAGGACCTATTGTTCATGAACAGGAAGTTAGAAAAACGGTAGATGGTGGCTGTACATGTAGTCTATACAGTCTGTGTGAAGGTCTTTTCTAGGTTTCAGGTGTGTCGGTAGACCGGTAGATGTATGTTTGGTTTGAGGAAGTACTGTCCATGTACATGAAGTGTATGGTACATGTACAACACCTGTACATTCTGTGCAAATATGCTAACAAGTGCAATAAAAAGGCCAAAACTTTGACATGAGTTATTACTAGACAATAAAGCCATACCCCCTAGCAATAGAAACAGTTTCAATTGTCGCTTGTAGACCCTACAGGATTATGCTCATTCTGTTCCAGGATAGTTTTGTCCATGCTTGTTCCCCAGCGGCAAAGTCACGGATGCAAACGATCACAATAACTCCAACTGGGCCAACGCATTAAATTGGGGATTGCATTTAAGCTTTTGAGAATAACCTTATGTACAGCTATCGGTAGGTTTCGCTGCAAACACTTTCCATTTGATTTAATCCCTCCAAAGAATAAGCCAGTTCAGGATTCCACCTGAGCATGTGCACGACAAGATTTGATGACTTTTGGATTTTGGAGGGACTTGGTCCTGCAGGGAGTAAGGGTTAATCCTGATTGTTATCCTGATAAGCCAGATTCATGGGTATAAAAATTTGCATATCAAGCCAAGTCACATGACACCAGGCGATGCTAGGGTTACCAGCTCAACTTTCTTAGAGTCCCGCCTTTCCAAACAATTCACTCAGATTTACTGAGAGGTCAACCTCGGGTCACATGGTTCATTATACCTGTTGGAGTTGTTTGGCCAGAGAAAAGCCAGGAATTTATAAACAAAAAACAGGGGTTGTGTGGGCTGGGTTTATGGATCCAGGAATTCCAAAGCCGAGACGACATTATGTAGTAACCAGAATTCATAAGCTAAAGTTTGCTTTTTTGTGGCAATGAATAATGTGTAAATTAAAACAGCCAGTTATGCAGGTTCTCAGTTTAAAGATCCATTTGAGAGCCTGAATAGCAGAGGTATCAATTTCAAGAATCGTAGGTCATACATGTATTTCACTCGGACAACACCTTTTTGATGGCAGGCTTTTGAAATTGTAAGCTTGAAGTCAGCTAGCTTTTGTTAAATGCTCCATCTAAATTTCATAAACCTGAACTACTCTTTATGACATGTAATGACTTCAAACATTTTCACGTCTTGTTACTTGTGTCCAGAAGACTTCTGACAAAACATACTTTGTTAAAATTGTATTATCACCCCTTCTTTTTCAGGTTGTGTGCCAAATAGCACAGAAGTCGGATGCTTTCCGTACCTATGTTGTGTTAAATTACATTTACTTTGTGTATTTTATTGGAGTTAAACCCACCCTTAACTCTGCCCAATCATAAAGCAAGGACCCAAAGAAGAAGCACCAACTTTGATTTTGTTTAGCTGTTTCTTTTCCACCACATTGTGGTAATCTTAGGCAGGATTTCCTCTCTTTGAGCGGTTTCCCTCCCTTCTTTAGTTAACTGGTATCCAGCTGAGGGGTTGGTTTCCTGACAGTGAATGGAGTAGAATAATGACCTCATTAGAATCTCACTCAGTGGTAGGTACCATGGTGGTAGGTAGTGCGTAGGTACCATGGTGTTTGGACATTGTATGATACCTGGACAGGCAACTGCCATGCTACCATATGTTACGAAGGCAGAGAAGTTTGTCCAGTCATGTATTTTCTTGTCCTGTCAAGCTACAACACAAATTGTGTCTGGTGATAGGTTTACTGTGAATTATTTAGCCGAATCTTGCAAATGTGAAAAGGGCGTGGCACAAAAAAGGTTGCGGCTATATCATTCTATGATGGAGAAAGGGGAATGTATCAAAGATACCCTTTAAAATGGTACATATGCACTTAGTACAACCAATATGATTCTTACATTGGACAGACAACATTAGTTTGCAATTGTTATTATATTTCAGAGGAATGAGTTTTCCACCTGTGTTCACATAAGGGTTTTGACATGTCACACTTGAAGAATGTTGATGCATGTTACAACTAATGACTGTTGACGTTCTGCTTTCAAGCTTTCAAAATGAAGGGACTTTAGAACTAATAAGAAGTTATGTCTTCTTGTTCTGTTAATGTTAACTCATTGACTGGTGGAATAGTTTGTTAGGTCAGCATGATAAATTAGCATGCAATTATCATATTCAAATGAGCTGCAGAACACTGTAATGACATGACCTCTTACTTTAACAAGTCACTTTATAAAAAGAATATTTCTCTGGGCACACAATTTAAAGGCTGCATGTATTCTTCATTTGAAACGTTGGTTTTTTGGACCATGCTGACTTGTGTTGCATCCTGGGCGTAGGTGGAGAGATAAGAGAACAGAATCTCGGCAGGAAGGAAGTGTGGGTTGTACATGTAGGTGTTAAAGGTGCAGTGAGATTACTTAAATAGATACTCACCAACATGTTCAGAAATATAAAGGATAGTTGTACAGCACCTTTAAACACCCGTTGCATCAATTGACCAGCTGGTGTTCAACCAAACAGCATGAAGCCATATTTATTTATTTTTTTTTGGGGGGGGGAGAGGGCCTAATGTTTCATTTATGTGTTATATCAAAGAAATATAATCGATTTCAATTTGAACTTCAGGAAATCATAATGTAATGAAAATATACATTGATTGATATTACTAATCGAGACAGTGCCGTTTTAGTGAATATATGCATGCACAATGTGGGTTCAGATCCCATCAACTAGAAGAAGGTTGCCCGTGGTGCAGTATCTGGTCAATAATTTTATTGAGAAATGTAGACATTGTTTTGCTGGGCTCTGGTTTGACCTATGGCTGTTATCACTAGGGTGCCAGTTTCTGGCATGTCAGTGGTTGGTATTGGGTATCAAGAGTGGAATGCTGCTGTGGGTCAACCACATATTGGATAGGAGTAGTAAGATGTATGATGTTTCATTTTGTGGTTAACCATGGAGGAATACCTTCCCAGAATAGTTGACATCACATTGTACATTGTATTTTGACGTTCAAGTCTGGTCATAAAATTGTCCTTTAAGAGTTTTACTTATTACAAGTATGTAGATAAGGCATGAAGTGATAAAGATATTTTAAAAACAATTCATACTCATAAAGTAAGTGAGCTAATTGATGACAACTTAAAAGTTCCATTTACCAATAAATAGAAATAGAAGTCTTTTGAACTATCTCCTTTTTCATATCGTTAGGTTAGTACATGTACAAAACTGGGTATACTTCATTTGAAATGCATATTCGCGGACAGTTCTGTATAAAAGCTGAGCTCTCCTAAGCTGATTAAATATTCCAAGTTTATCATATAATGTCATGATTAGATAAACGTGGACTACACAAGCTCACATTTACCACCATCCTTACCTACATGTACATGAACATGAATACATAATTGCATTACACCTTGAGGTACGGTATGGTAAGTCCAGAGTTACTCGGCCAAGTGAAATTAATTAAAGCTGAAACTGACTTACACCTCCAGTTAATCACCACAAATGCAATATTTCCCCTCTACCTTCAAAATGAGATTACGCATGAATAATTTTTTGTCTGGTATTCAAACTAATCGTTGTAGCTAGGCAACATTCATGCAGTCATTCTCATGATCATGTCTTGGGTATGAATTGGGAATTTGGTTAATAAAGTACTTTTAATTACTAACCTTTTTTAATTGACAGTACGGTATTTTTGCTTTTTACCCAGCCAAGAATGTTGCTCATTTAACTCACATTTTCTCTGCTGTCCCTTCACTTTGTAGTCCATCGGAATAATATAAATGTTGGTTTCCTCTGAGACCAACGTGTGCCAGTCTTTTCCCAAATGTCATTGGTCCAAGATAACATGAACAAATGTACTCTTTGGATCAAGACACCCATCTCAGAAGCGACTTTGATTTACTATCTCAAGGGATCATTTTCGAGAAATTCCTGAGCTTTAAGCTTTTATAAATCTGTCAACATTGACATAAGGGATTGATAAGAATATCTCTTCATATTCAGGATTCCTGCTTGGTGTGGATAGGTACTAGGGTCTGCAGTAGTGGATGCTTCTGTATGCCTGGTCTTGAATTTCGGACTAACATTGCAAAAGAAAAAGGCAGAATGATTAATAGACATCTGTATTTTTCAGGCTGTAATAAATACAACCAGATATTTTAGTGTTAAAGTTTACATGTACATAATGTACATGTATCTTGAGAATATTGTGAGAGTACTTAACTTGAGGGGAGAATTGCCAAACAACCAAACAAAAGTAATTAATAAATAAATCCTGGAAAAATTATTCAGACACTTTGACTGCTTGAGAAAAAGATGATCAAAGTTATAATTCAACAATAATAAAAATTAAAAATTTAAAAAATAATTGCCACAAGAACAACAAAGTGAGTTGTGACATCTACCTGTAATATGTCACGTCAAAACACCATTTACATGAACTGAAAAACAGATCCAAATTTGGTCCATTTCGTCCTCTCATCTTTACCCTCTACGCATATTATGTTTTTTTGGAAAAGTACTTTAAAATATGATCTGATGGCACGCAAACCTAAAAGTGTTGACCTGTAATTGTGGAAAGGAAATTGCTATGATTTCCTGGCATTGGAGCCAATCTGGAAGCCCCCCTCATCAGACAGAGGAACTTGGTGGTCAGTGGTAGGATAGGATTATACCATACTTTGTTCATGTTGTTATGTGATGGATGAGAAGTGGTTGCAGATGAAAGGGTCCAAAAAATGACATCTACCGGTAGTAATAATGGTTACACTCGAATGGTGATGTCTGTTACAAACACATATATTTGAATTACATGCACTCATTGTGCTGATTCTTAACAGTTCCCCAGTACTACCCTGCCAGTTCCAACAGAGTCTGACGGTTACTCTTGTCTCATGTATGAGTTTCCTGCTCAATCCAACACGGTCTAGCACAACCCAACTTGCCAAGTTGTTGGGTACCTGAACGTACATGTATGTATAATGATTGGGAAGGTCAATCCAACAGAATCCAACTGTGCCTTACTTTCCTGCTGGATCCAACAGAATCCAAATTGCTGTTATTTACCAGTACCCAACAGTATCTGACTCTGAATGTGTTCAGTTGCCTGCTGAATCCAACAGATTTCAACAGGAACAAGGTCAAAGTTACTGCTCAATCCAACAGGATCCAATTGAAATGTAAAATACAATGTAGATGGATCCAGTGGATGGAGCAGGGTTGGGCATTACATGTATGAGCTGTGAGTTGACAACTACATGTACATGTACATTGTATGTGCACAACTGTAGTTGGCACCATAAAGCATAACATCTCTTGATAAATGCAATACATTGTTTGTACGAACCCGTTTGTACAGTGGAGGGCATTTGGCATGCTGTTTCTGTTTTTTTCATTTACAGTGTTTCTATTAAGTTTGACATGTCAAGATCGTATGGTGGTGGTTCAATTCTCTGGCTAGGTTGTTGCCCTTGGTCTGGTGTTTATTTATGGTAAATAACTTCCAGCTTTGTGAAAGGTTTGGATTATTTGTTCTGAGAATTCCTGTCTTGAATTTTCATAGCTTGCTTATGATGGGACAAAATGGAACTTAGGTTATGGATTTAAAGCAGGAATGCATCAATGTCCAGTGTGCTTGACATTTGGTTTGAAGATTTTTTCCAACCTTTACTCTTTTTTAACTTGTTTTATAAATGACTCAATTTGTTAATCAGAACACGGGGCAAAACATATAGCAACATTCCCAAAACATCAGAGGTGAAACAATGTGCCAAGTGGTTACACCCACTAATGTCATGTCGTGTACATGAAGTTAGGACTCGTATTGAACATGTACACGTATGTTATGCACACAGCTGAATGAGTTCATACATGAAGTGCAATGTACATATTGTTACAGTACATGTTTTTTTTCAGTAGGCATTTGAGGTAGTCGCCATAGAGGAGCTTTACCCATGAAGCTGAAACTACCACACAAGTACCAGTAGTTTCAGTATGCAGGCATACTGCACAGTCCGTACACGCCCACATCCTAGCAGTGGTATGACATTGCCTACACACCTTAGGTTATACAAGCATTCCATTGAGTACCATACATATTGTGTGGATTGTTAGCCCACAAAGGACATTGTGGATTGTTTAGTAAGGACCTTGCGTGTATGCAAATTGTCTGGAAGCTGAGCCCTATTCAAGCTGTTGTGAAGGACAGCCATGCTAAACCACTTCCAAGTTCCATAGTCTGACACTGACAGTAGGGCGTGTACAGTTGCACACAGGAAATTAAATAGACCCAAACTCTCTGATCCCAATGCCAAATTTGTACAATTGTTATACAAATATGAGAATTGTGACCTACATGTATGCACACTGCAAAAAAGAGTTGCTCGTTTTGCTTCGTTAGTTTCTATTGGTAGCCATTGAAAATTGAGATGAGTATGATAAAGTTGGAATATTTCTTTTTTGTATTGCTCAAATGCAACTTTAACTAAATTGTTTGAAAGATTCTCAAATTCCTGATTATTCTAAATAGTAAAGGGAAGTACCGGTACCAAGCCTCATGAGGTTGAAAAGTAGTAGATCTGGGTTCTACAGCACTGAATTGGTAACCATTCTACCGGTACCAAACCAGACCTACATGTATTCCAGCGAGCCAAAATAACTTGGGGACGGCTGGCTGCCTAACCCATGTCCGGCAAAACAGAATTTGAACAATTCACAGCACATACCCCAGGAAATGGAAGGGCACACAACTAATGAACAATTGTTGCAAAGGTTCTTGAAAGCTAGGCGAGTGTGGGGTCGTTTGTCAAAAAACTTGACAAGTGACAAGAGTTATGAACCTTGAGTCAACACTGCCCCAAGTCAATCAGTCCATGGTCAGCCAAATATCAGCCACAAGAGCAATTCCATCATGTCCCCAAAAGGCAACTTGCTAGATTATTGAGGTCACCTCTAACTGACTGTACAGTATGTCAGTCACAAATAATTGAGCATCTAATGTCCTGAATACAACAGAATCTATTCCCTGCTGTTGGATTATGCTGTTAGATTCAGCAATGTTATCGTTCAGGTCATCCCTAATTCATTTCAATGTGCACATTTATACAAACTGACATGCATGTTACATTAGTTCCTCTTTGGTTTTGGGCCATTTCCAAGTTTCACTTTTACCCATTTTAAGCCAAATTATCCACAGCTTAAGACTTAGATCCACTTGCAGCTTATTTGATTTAAGAATAGATATCTCCTATCAGACGAGGATATAAATAAATTGATGATAGATGAATGAAGTGATCCATCGCAATACTCAATAAGCTGAGGAGTCACCAGCAATTTAGACTCGTTGATAACAGCTTTGCTTGAGTGAAGCAGATGCATTCATGCTCATAAGTACTTTTGCAACGTGTCCATTATGTTTGTTTCGGTAATTACATGTATCTAAACCATGGAAAAGGAAGAACAACGTACATGTCGGTGAATTAAAAATACCAAATCATCATATCCTGCAAACCAGCAAGCTGTAAATGAAGACTGTCACAGCATTTGATTGTCCTCTGTTTCAAAAATGACTGATCCTCACGATTAAATCTGTCTTGTCTTTTCTCTTCCCTTTTCATTTCTCTACAGACCGTGAAGACCAGTCCATCCTGTGCACGTGAGTTCCATTTATGAGTCATCATGTTCACTGATTTCTACACTTGACAAGAAATGGAAGATTTCCTAAGCAAGTTCACGGCTAACCACTGGAGATTACCCTTCATGGCTCAGTGTTATCATTTTGTTCATTGCCAAACAAATCTAGTATTGCTCCAATACAGGCAGTGTCACCAGCAATTTACTGATCAAGATTGTATTCTTGATTGAACATTTGAGATTTAATGTTCAGCCCTCTAGTTTTCCTTCTGTTTACAATTTGTTTCTTGCGACAATTAACACAATTCCTGTATTGATTACCCATCAAGGATCTTGTAGGCTTATCTCTTCCATGGGAATGGATTCCTAGTGAGTTTTCCCATGGTAGAATCTTAGTATTACTGTGGATTACTACTCCAAGGGTAGTTTCATGTCAAGACATCCCCAATTTATCCCGGAATGGAGTAAACACATTCTGAACAACACTGTTCTGTCGTTCTCACATGAAGGAATTGTATATCAAGGCAGGGAGAGGAGGATTTGCTCCAAAGTTACTTGTTTTGGAACTTTTTGATGTTCTACAACTTGTTTTGAAAGCAATTGGACCTTCAATGATTTCCTATGTATTGTAGGCTAGGGCAAGCACTTTATTCCCCCAGTGAAATGGGGACAGTTACTGACAATACTCACTTCTTAGTTTTCAACAAATGTCTTGACTTGCTTAACAAAATAGATAAATTAGGTGTACTGTAGAGCAAGGAAACCTGACCAAAAAGAGATGAGGTAGGGAGACATGAATTGTTCTAAAATTTGCTTTTGCTAGTAAATAACAAGTCACAAACCAACTTCAAAGTAAGCTGTACAAGATACAATGAACAGATGGGGCCCTTGCACACCAGGGATGATCCACATTCAACAAAACAAGGAATTCTAAGTATGCACTGGTCCCTTTCATGTCCACCCTGCACATGTAAGTAAATTGATGCATCAATGGATGCCTAGCAGTCAGTATGACCTGCTTGGGATTGCTGTTATTGCACAGAACAATACCCCAGATTTGAAACCTACTTGTGTAAGGTTAAATGGAAGACAGAAGATGTGCGTCAACAAAATGTTGACATGCCCATTTGTATAAATTTAGGATGGAAAAGATTAGTGGATGCTGGATTTTCGCAGTTTTATGTACAGGTATGCTGTAAAAATTACGTGGTCTGAACTCTTGAACGTTTGTTGAGAGAAGAGGAGAGGAGTTGAAGGGGGCTCCTTCAACCTTGACTGCTGACAAGTACAGATCATTTGCCACATGCTTTCAGAAGACAAACTTAGAACTTGTAACCTCATGCTCCTTGCTGAAAATGGTTCTCATAGAGCCACTAATCTTTACAAGTGAAACGATCATCCCACTACCAACCCTCTTTAAATAGGGGGGGGTTCAAGATCATTGATCAGAATGTCTTTAGTTTGAATGAAGTGTTGGATTGGAATTGACCTGGAAATTTGACCGTCCAGTGTGGAGCAGAGCACTACTGCTGGAGATGTAGCATAGCCGTAGTCTAAACTGCTCATCATGAGTAATATTGAGTATCGGAAAACACACCTTAGCAATGACCAGCAATGACCTTGTTTCTTACTGCCCAAAATGAAAGAGTGCAACGTTGAAGATGCTGATTACGAAAAGAAATGTGGAGCTATATATCTCAATTACTGCTACTTGCTGCTGTGATATTCCTGATGATGAAACCATGTGGTGCAATTTTGGGAAATTAGACTTTATAGTAAAGTTTTCTTGACTAGATAAGATTATTACATGTACATGTTACTTTTTGACAAGACTGGGGCATGATTCGTGATTGCTTTAAGACGTTTTGAAATGTTTACTCTTCTTGAATAGAATATATAAGAAATAAGTTAAGGACAATTTGCCCTGACCTGCTTCAACCGCCCCCCCCCCCCTTTAAAAAAAAAAATAGTGCGCAGATGTTTCCAACACAAAGTTAGAAACCAAATTTTCTGAAAAGCATTGGAACGTTTATGCAAGAGGATCATGTCAGTTCTGCCATTGATCTGTTTGTTAATATAGGCCTAATTGTTCATGTTTTCTCCCCCCCCCTCCCAATGCTCTATCTTTTATTTTCTTGCAGTGGGGAGTCTGGTGCAGGCAAGACAGAGAACACCAAGAAAGTCATTCAGTACCTGGCCTACATTGCTGCTAGTAAGGGAGGCAAAGGGACTACTGCCTCTCAGTTACAGGTACATTGTACACACTCACACAGTGCATGGTCCTGATACAAAATCACACTTGATAATTATTATGGACTACTCTAATGTGCTTCACACTAGACATAACTAGGTATCAACTTACTGGGTTTGTTCTTTAATTCATATCAGATACATTTGCTGTGTTATTTTTCAGGCAATAGGCCTATGTGTCTGCTTGGCAACTCATGAAATTTGTTCCAAGATTCTTCTCCAGTTATAGAAAAGGCACTTTGTTATCATTAGACCAAACCTAACTTTAAACCTTTTGAATTGTCTGTAAATAGCAGTGTAAAGAAGCCATCACAACAAAACATGGTTGAGCTGAAATCTTAGTTCAGTAGCATGAAGTAGGCTTTTCTGTTGTTCAAAAACTTAAAGCAATTTAGAGACTAAGCTTCTTAAAGTGCAGCAGATTAACAATATCTTGCCTCTCAAATCCTGTCAACCAGTTTGATGAGATGTTTGAAATTTAATCAGCTGCTTTTTTCAACTTTAATCAAATCAAAGCTGAAGGGACACTACAGCAGCTTCCGTCAATTCTTAGTTTGTCAACCAACACAGAAACTGCTTTATTGTAGTACATGTACCGGTATGATAAACCAAGTACCGGTAGATCCAGGTTTGTGATTATAGCTAGAGGAACCTATGAGAATCATCCCTTGGGGACATTTGTATTTTTGCTGATCTGATTTGCCACACTCATGACTCTCACCTTTGACAAAACTCTGAAACAGTGTACATGTAATTCACTCATCAAAAGCTTTCTATACAATGATGTGTTTTTCGCTTGATCTTAATTTGACTGTCAGTGGGCATTTACCATTTTTTGATTTCCCTTGGGAAAAGAAAAAGGAAGAGAAGGCTTCAATCAACTGTGCCTTTCCTGAACAACACATTTCAAGGGCGTCCAGTACCCACAAATCCTCACACAAATTGACCTACATTTTTTAGACGATACGGAGAGCGTCATTTTTTCTTGATATACCGGTACATGTACTTTTTTTAACTGCCTGTTGGGTGCTGAAACATGTTAGCAAAACAAATATTAATTTCTCTAAATTCTGTGCCAATATTACTTTTTCAGTTTCCAAATGGTAACCTAAATTAAACTTACATAACAACCCAGATTCCTCCCATTCTTTTAACAAATTTCTTGGAAAAAAAAGCCTTCCCCTGTAAAGAAAGATTTAAATAGGGTGAGTACATGGACACGTTGTCTGAACATCACGTGTGGAAGTAGCCAGTGTGGTTTGAGTAGTCCAGAAATATTGTCTCAAGAATAACTCCATGTTGTTAATTTTCAAACACTAACTGTAAAATTTGTATCCTTTTTGTTTTGTTGTTTGAATTGTACAGTCGTGTTTTTTTTTTGTCACAAAAGTTTCTCCCACCAAGTACTGCCACACTGGCAATGAAGGACAGTGCAACACACAAATAACAAAACACAACAAAGTTTGTTTTGTCTTCCTTCCTTATCTAAGATCCTTCAACTTTGACTTCAATTTTCCTTGCGATCCTGGTCTTGTACCCAGTGCACCTATACTATGCATAGTTTCTGCCTGCAGCAATGTTGTAGACCAGTATGCCATTTACCTGACTAATAGTCTTCCGTCTGTGCTCCAAAATATTGATGCGCTGATAAAAGATTGAAGTTCTAAAACATTAAAGATATTGAGTGCTTAATTACATCCTAAATGCATTGGATCACAATAATCAAAGTGCCTTTTCTTTTTAAAGGTATTTCTATTTTCAAAATGGACAAACATCCTTCAATTATCAGCAAATGATTCTGTTGTCTATTAACTGTAATTTTTTTTTCAATTTCAAATTTACATTGAACAGTTATATGTTTCCAAATTCAGTCACATCTTGCTGAATAATTAAAAACATGCAAAACAGTCAATCTGAATATTCATTTGAACTCCAGCAAGGTAACAGGAACCAGCAATCTGATTTACAAAAGGTCAGTCCATGCAAACATTTAGTAAATGTTTATTCAACATCTCCAGAATCATCTTAGCTCACTGGACATTGACTTCTTTATTGAACATGTGGTTAGCTTGTAGGAAGTAGTCTTCATTGCATGAAACTGTCTCCAGAGAATTTTTTGAATATGAAATTGAGTATTCAGTATACACAGTATCTAGTTGAATATCCAAAATTCTATATTTACTCTCAAGCATTCCTTAAAACCCTCAAAATATGTAGTGGACAAACAAAAAATCAAAATTGGGAAGTTTGCTGCTGAAGAGCGAGATTTTAATCTCATTTTGCCTGTTAAGTGTTAAAAATTTATTCAAAACCGGTATTTACTTCAACTTCCTACAAGCTGACCAAGATTATTATTGAATTAATGTTCACACAGAACAGTTTAAACTCGGTGTGAATGGAGACGACTTCTGTCTAGTTTACGTGAACACACTCTAAGCACAGTCTCCTTTCATACAACACGTAATAAACAGACATACATGTATCTGTACACCTCACAATCATACCCGTTTACACTCCCACATTTTACATAATACAGATTCTTCAGTTGATATTTATTACTTTTGCATGTTCAAATGTAGATGTGCCATTTGGTTGAATCACACGTCTGAAACACATTTCTTTTGTTTATTTTTGTTTTTCCCTGCCATTGTTTGAGCCATGTGCACTCAGATGTCATTTATTGACTAGCTGTAGATCAGAATGTGTTCATCCATCCACCTTGGATGAAAATTGAAAAGAATGGCAATATTGATCTGAATTATCAGAATCACCATTGTTCAATTTTCATGAGGGTTGCCATGGTTTCAAGCAATAGCTTTAGAATGGATTCATTGTTTTATGTTGTACATGTATGTAGATTAAAGTGATCGTCTGTTACCCAATCACGGCTAACAGACAGTCATGTCATGTAGTTGTTTCTGTTGTTTCTAACCCTTTTCATGTCTCTTTCCATCTCATTTACCCTGTAATATTACGTTAACCCCCTCCTCCCATTCCTGATATCCCCGCCCCTTGGATCCTTCCTCCTTTCCTTTGACTGTGTCAACAGAGTTTTGACAGTCTCTCCAAACACATTGTCGTAAGTATGCATCAGAGACACTTGTGTTATCTTGGTTTGCTTCTTCAGTGCACACTAATATTGAATTGTCTCTAGTGGCTTACAGCTGGGTGTGAATGGGAGATGGCATCATTCCCAACCATTCCTGGTGCCATGAAGAACAGTTGAATAGTTTGACTGCAGGTTGTTGCCATGTTTATTACATGGCTTCTGTCCAAAAGGCAAAGCAGTGTTGTAATTATGAATCGTTATTTACTGAATCCTGGCTGTCATCCCAAACGCACTCAGCTGTAGGACTCGGATTGGATGCAAATATTGTATGCCTGTAACATTTTCAGCTCCATATATCCATATGATATTACATGTATACTGTATGTACATGTACATTGCCTCAGCTTCGGCCCAACTACATGCAGGTGTTCAGCTGGTTAAAAAAAAATCATGCTCAGCCAAAAACTGTTTTGTAGTTTGTGTTGATCCACCCACTTGAAATGAGGGGGAAACAGGGGGGGGGGGGGGGGGGCTGGGCTGGGCTGAGTGACTTTTCCCCTGATTTGCACTTACAATTTGATGAATTGTATTCTCATATAAAAATATTCAACATAATTTATATATTCCACTTTGTTTTCCTTCATGTTTTTTTACCAGACATTTACAGTAAGTCATTTCAGAAAACATCCGTTTCCTGTGAATATTGGTGTCATTTCAAATCGCTCATCCTTCTTTGCATTTGTATTTCAGCATTTTTGCTGTAATTTTCCATCTTTCCTTCTGTGATTATCTGTGGTTTTCATTTCTGGCGGAATCGCTTTTTTTTTTTCAATTGATAAATGCTTCATTTTGTATAAAGAATTTTTGTTTTGAAAGTTATCCAAAGATATATTTCTCCAAATTATTTTCTTGGTTTTGTTCACATACTGGGAATCTTTCACCAGCGTTTTTTTTTAAATTAGTTATTAAAACCACAAACTCAACAGAGAGCAGTTGCAATCCAGTTTAAATTCAAACTTATTTGCATGCTTGTTTATTTCGGAATGAGGAATTGGTCAATATTCCCATGTTTGGAAACAATTTTGTTGTTCAGTTTTAATTGTTTGTTTAGATCTTAGTAGCTGCAGCTACTTATTGTTTATTGGTTATTCGTTTTATCTTCAGTTTAAAGCATAAAGTGTAAAGCATATTAAAGCATTGTGGGGCACTTTGTTCAGTAAGTTCAAATTCAAGAAATTTAAGTAAATGTTTGTAAATCATCTGTCTTGTTTATGCTGTAATTTGGTCCTCTACCTCAGACACATAAGGCATATCCTTTCATTTGCATCATACCAAGAAAAGTGAGAGAACAAAATGAGCCAAGAGACTAAATTCAATTTATGATAAGATAAGAATCTCTTGAGCGGATCATTATTGCCCACGGGAAGTCTTGGTCCTGTTTGGGTATTTTTACAATCTTTTATTAGAGACACTTTTACGAAGCATATGTCATAAACAGATTACTGTGGGATCAGATAAATAGATTAGCAGTTGGCAGTTGGAAATGCCCCGAACCAATTTCTGCAATTGTTTGTGCACATCGTACCCACACGGGATGTTATGATGAAATGAAGTGTTCTTTCATCACCCATCATTTAGAACGAAGAGGTTACTTGTTTTGTTTTGATACATGGATGAAATTCAAAATACTGATCAGTGTCCCCAACTTACACAGATTTCCAGAGATTGATTTCAATTTCTTACAGAAACCCTCTTGAAGTAATGTCAATTGGGCGTGGTCAAAGCTTCCACATTTTTTCTTGATATTTGTGAAGACTTTTGACATTTTCAAAAACATAAAAATGCAAAGAAATTCATACTTGCTTTTTAGAATGGCTGAAAATGGAAAATGAGGATAGTGATTTCCAACAACTGTCTCGTTTTTCCTTCTGCATGAGGATCATGCTTCACTGTTACTTTCCTTAAAGACATTCATCTTTCATGTCTGCAGTTGACATGAGGCTTTTCAGTCATGTTTGTGTTTATGTCTTGTTGAGCATCTTCTGAAGTTGCTTTTTGTTCAGGGGGGGGAAATGTTGAAGTCATGGCTTAGGCTGTATTTGTGTGTGTACTCTAGCTTCACATTTGTAACCGCTGTTGTTTCCTGTGTCATCTTTTTGAGATTACGTGTATTTTTCTCCATTTTTTGCAAGCCATCTTGTGCTTCACATTGTGTTCAAATAGTGTTTGTATTTCTGCATTTCATTGCTTTGTTAGTGTATGTTTGACATTTGTGTGAATTTGCCATGTTTTCTGAAAAAAATTATACGGATCTTCATTCTTAAGCCCCCAGAAAGGTTTTTACAAAATTCCATTTTCAGTCAGAAATCTGAATTCTTTGCTCCTGCCTTTATTCTTTAACATTACAGTAAATGTTCAGTGCATTAAGTTGTTTGTTTTGTCATCATAAAGACATAAACACCACTCATCCCCAACCTGGGGTTAAATGGCACAGCATTTATAGCTTGCAGTCACTGAATAATTGATCGTGTTATTGGCAGTTCATGTTGCTTACCAAATTAGTTATCACAGTTCATACCAGCTAATTGCTTGTTTGCTAAGCTGGACAAAAAGCAATGAAAAAGAAGTTTTAATTATATTGGATTTTCCTGTTATGTTCAGTATCAACTTGACTCAATTTCGGGGGAAAATGTGGGGTGAATTTTTTTTTTGCTCCACAATTGACATTTTTTAATGTCCAAAAATGCATGATGACAGAAAAAAGAAAGAAAACTTCAACATGTTCAAAATGCTTTAGCATGAGTTTTTTTTTTTTGCAATCTGGAATGTGGAAAAGCTGAAGTCATTTATGCATCCTTCCTGCAGGTTTATACAGGAATACATTTTAAATGCTTTCACTTCATTACAAATGTTTTTGTGAAGTTGCAATATGTATCCAGTTACACAAAACTGACTTGCATGACAAGCATTGAAGACAAACTAAACTGTTTTTTCTCTGTTTGAACTTTGGATGTTTTGTGTGTTACATTTTGTTTCAACAAAAAGCAGCTTTACTGATTGATTCCTTTGGTTTTTTCCCCTGTCTCTGTCAGGGCGAGTTGGAGGCTCAGCTTCTTCAAGCCAATCCTATCCTGGAATCCTTTGGCAATGCCAAGACAGTCAAGAACGACAACTCCTCCAGATTTGTAAGTTCTGACAATTCGAAAAGAACTTGTCTTATAAAACTCTTCACTTCTAAAGCCATGTTTGTGTATTATAATAATAATAATGTGATGCACATACATGTACAGCGCTCTACTCCAAATATCTCAAAGTGCTTCACAATTATTCATCAGGCCATGAGACCAGTTTTGCAGCAGCTTGAGATCAGTGCACTCTAGTCTTTACCTTCACAGGTACCCATTTATACTCCTGGGTGGAGAGAGGCAATTGAAGCAAAGTGTCTTGCCCAAAAACACCTCCATGTTCCCTGTCAGGGTTCGAACCCACAAACCAAAGCACATGATTTGAACACTGTAACCATAGGACCATAGCGCGCCACTTTATGCTTCCAATCGTATAACAAATCAATTGTGGCTTGGACATGATTTCCCAATTGTAACATTTCATTGCATTGATTTCTATCGCTGTTTTTTGATTGCAGGGGAAGTTTATCCGTATCAACTTTGATACTTCAGGCTACATCTCCGGAGCCAGCATTGAGACTTGTATCCTTTGAACAAATTGCTGCTGGGATTATTTTTGGCCGAAAAAAAAAGTATTTTGGGGGAAAACTTGACTATTTGACCCATCACTCGCCCTGCGAATATGCATTGCCAGATCGTGCTTACATGTCCTTCGGCATTGACTGGTTAACCAACTTACTTTCCTTTAATGTTTTACTGTCATTCAGTTGGTGAGATTTTTTTTTTTTAGTCCTGTGTAAGATATTATTGCTTTATCATCAACTTAAGTAGCTTAGACCCGAGTTACTTAATACATGAGCAGAACAATACTGCTGTACCTACTCATAATGCACCAAAACCCAGTTCATGTTGTGCATTATTTTATGGCCTAACACAAGATATGTGTATCTAACATTATTGGACTCAAAAGATGCACAAGTGCAGTTACTGCTAAAATTATCTATTGACAAAAATAGAGCATACATGTACCACAATAACTGTTCTCCCCCTGCCCACCTCCATCAGACATTTTTCCTGAACATGCCTTATTTATAGACCTTCTTGAGAAGGCTCGTGTGACTCGTCAAGCTGCGACTGAGCGTGCTTTCCATATCTTCTATCAGCTCTTTGCTGGAGCAACTGATGCACAGAAGAGTGAGTTGTCTATCAGATTGGGAGATTTTATGCCGTCAAGCTGAAACGCAAACTTTTTTTTTGTTTTTTGGGCCTTTTGAGAAAGATCGGTCATGTGAGAGAGTTTAACCAATAATAGCGTAAAGGAGTCCGACATTTATAGGTGTTCGATTTTCATATGACACCGGCTAAGCGACTTATTTTAAAAATGGCTTCGCCCATTTTATTTTGTGTCACAATTCATTTTATTTAGCGTTAGAAATGTACATGTTTTGTACATTTTGTGGAGAAAAAAAGGCTTACGTAATACAAGCCCAGACACGACAAAGGTTGCTCCATAGTCGGAGATGTTTTTGAATGATAATTAGGGAGCGATTGTCTCGTGATCGACCGATATTTGTGATGGCAATAATGGTCATGGTCGCTGGAAATAATACGTACGGTGTGTCAGATTTTGGTAGCACCTCAACTCAACACTGATCGACAGCAAGTGAACTCAACCCGGGGCGGTTCACACAATCGTTTTTGACACGGTTCACGCCGATAAGTTGAATTGAGATTTTCTTCCCTGGTTCCTGCCAGGGTTGATTTTGATCCAGCTAGAGCATGCTACCCAGGTCGAAACTGGGTTGAAATTTTAGAAGTGGGAAAATGGTTGAAAAAATTTTGGGGTTCGATCCGGTTCCAACTCTGAGATTTTGCACTGTGTGAAAAGGCCTTTTGAGAATGATCACTTTGATATTTGCGGCTCCCTAAGTTGGCATGGTGTGACTAACCCTTGCCTCTCAACTCCAAAACAGGAAATGTAAACATGCCCCCAAATGATTAACTGTACTTTACCACGGTGCAAAGGTCTGATGTGTGGGTTAGGTTGCATGATAAATTGATGAACATGAACTATGTCTTAGTGACATTTCAAAGAGTTGTATACCATTGATGCACCAGTTTACATCATTCACAATGCCTCTTATCTGTATTACAGTTTGAGATTTATAACTGCAGCAATGGTTGAAAGCAAAAGAAGAAAATCAAAATGCCCTATTCCATAAAATCATGACATTTAATAATAAACTGCACCTATTGACTGGCCACTCCAATGCAAGCCAGTGTCATTGATGTATATTTGAGTTTAGTATTATGACCCTGGACAGTAAAGATCATAGGTTAGTTGAGTGAAGTCTTGTCCTGGTTGGTATGTTGATTCATTGCTGATCCCTGCCCCTGTTTGTTTGTTCATGGGGGGTTCCTGTCTTCCAATAGGAATGTGATAGATGGGGGTTTGTTTGCCTCTAGAGAAGTTTACTGACTGTTGCTAATAATATGGCTAGCTACACATTCAGTAGCCTCATTTTAGATTGTTTGGATGCCTTGAATTAATCATGACAGGAACGTGTTGGTTTTGACACCTGCTGACTGATCAATGAATGAAAGAGTTCAACATGTCACTCCAGTCCTCAGTTTATTTTGGCTTGCACAACTATGCCACATGTGATTAATTTGTGACAATTCTGTAGCACCTTAGAGTTAAGTCAGTCATTTTTGGGTTTTGGGGATGGGGGGGGGGGGGCAGTGTTAATGAATAAGTGTGACTTATTAGATTCTTGAAAATGCAGCCAACACAGATCAAGTGGCCTAATTTTTACAAGTCTTTATTTGGGCAATTCCGTGAAATCCAACATACATCCAACCACATGATGTACACATACAAGGTCATTAAGGTGGTGGTACAGTAGTTTGATCTGTAATTGTTTTCTTCTCATCACATATCATAGTATTAGTGATGTATCACATTCACTTTCCCAACAGCAGATCATTAAAGCATCTGACGTGTACGTCTGAATTTACGGAATTGCCCAGTTGCAAACACGTCTTTGATTGGGTGCATATTTAATTGGTCAGCTACATGTGCTATAACTGGTCCACATGGCACCATCACTGTACCCTCGCTCTGCTCTTAAGCTCAAACAGCCCCTCTAGAGTTCTTATCTTGTTATTTTTTTTGTACAGAGGAACTGCTGTTGGATGACATCAACAATTACAAATTCCTGAGCAATGGCCATGTCCCTGTGGCAGGAGTTAGTGACTTGGATGAGTTTGATGCGACTCAAGAAGCGTTTGACATCATGAGTATGACTGAAGATAGCATGTGTAAGTCTTCTCAGTTTATCAAAGATCTCAAGTAATGCGCACAATTTTGTCTGTTGGCTGAATGTGGCTCGTCAAAGTGCTTTCTTGAAATATGATCCGACTGTTGGTGACAGCCTGTGTAAAAGGCATGGTCGGGGAAGTGAATGGAATTTTTGACTGTCTGTGACTGGTCAGACAGTAGGAGGTTTAAAAAAGTTATGTTTTCATCCCCAGTTTCTTATTTCTTTGTTTTTTTAATGATTATTTTGCACCTATAGCCGTGTTCAAAGTTGTGTCTGCAGTGTTGTTGTTTGGAAACTTGACGTTCAAGTCGGAGAGGAACAACGACCAAGCCATCCTTCCAGAAACTACAAGTGAGTCCAAAATGAAATAAAGTATGTTGCGAGACAGTTTTGAGGGATTTCCAAGCGGACTTTATTGCCTACGTGTGTAAGAAGTAATAACAACTGCTAAAGATATTAAAAATGAATGATAAATCCATCGCAAACAATCTCCTCTAAAATCTATCGTTTGATTGGCTAGATTTAGATTATAATGGTTTCTGGACTGTACAACATATTACATTTATAATGCATGAAGCTGTTTCCACCATCCCAGTTTGTGATTCGTCAGACCTTTGGGATTTTTTAGTGACAGCAAGAAAAATGTCCTAATTTCGGCAGTGTCTGTCTTGTTACCATGGTGACACTGCGCTGGCAAAGGACCACACATCATTTCAGTAAGTCAGCATGTTCAACTCTGCTTCAAGTATCATCGGGTGTTTACAGGTGCAGGGGCTCTACTTATTGGCTTACAAGTTTCTGATGTATGGTTTTCTCTTGTTTTGATTGCAGTTGCTCAGAAGCTGTGTGCCCTTCTCGGCCTGAATGTGACAGATATGACTAAAGCTTTGCTGAAGCCCAAACTGAAAGTGGGTCGTGACTTTGTCCATAAAGCTCAGACAGTCGCACAGGTAAGTTGGGAAAATGTCACAACTTGCTGAAATGCTGGTCCAATTTTATTCCATGGCATTGCCAATCAGCCTTACAGTTAGGGTGCTTCTCTGAAAGTACGGTTTTATTTTGTAAGTGTGACTATTTTGTTTGCCTGATTGTAGGTTGAGTTTTCGTCGCAAGCCCTTGCCAAGGCTATCTATGAACGTCTGTTCAAGTGGATTGTGAGTCGCATCAACAAGTCGCTGGATCGCACCACACGCACTGGCGCTTCCTTCATTGGAATCTTGGATATTGCTGGATTTGAGATCTTCAGGGTCAGTGAACATTTGGATTATTAAATTAATTCACAGTGTCTATTAAATAACATCACTTAGTCGAGTAATGCACTGCCTCCTGTCCAGTGTGATGTATCACACTTCATCTGATCGGCTCTGGAAACCAAAGCCTTACCTCATTTTTCACTTTTCGCTTTATTAGGTTATTGACTTGAGTGAATGACATTTGTTTGTTTGTGTTTTCCTCTCTTCACAGATGAATTCTTTTGAGCAGCTGTGCATCAACTACACCAACGAGAAGCTGCAGCAACTGTTCAACCACACTATGTTCATCATGGAACAGGTAACAAGAATGCTTAGCGAAGTACCGATAGATTTACTGAGCAAATAGAACCACACTATGTTCATCATGGAACAGGTAACAAGAATGCTTAACAGAATAGATTTACTGAGCAAATAGAACCACACTATGTTCATCATGGAACAGGTAACAAGAATGCTTAGCAGAATAGATTTACTGAGCAAATAGAACCACACTATGTTCATCATGGAACAGGTAACAAGAATGCTTAGCAGAATAGATTTACTGAGCAAATAGAACCACACTATGTTCATCATGGAACAGGTAACAAGAATGCTTAGCAGAATAGATTTACTGAGCAAATAGAACCACACTATGTTCATCATGGAACAGGTAACAAGAATGCTTAGCGAAGTAGATTTACTGAGCAAATAGTACTGTACCGCACAATGCTTCCATTATGTCAAGTGGCAAAACTGAAGTTGATGCCTTTAATCTGGTCAAAAGATCTGTCTACAATGTATATCAAATTTCCCAAGCCAACAGAATCAATTGATGTGAAGACAGGTCATTAGCCAAACTATCACATTTCCCCCCTAACTTTTAGAAGTGAACTTCAGCTTTGTGTTTATTGTATTTGTAGGAAGAGTATCAGCGTGAAGGCATTGAATGGAAGTTCATTGATTTTGGTCTGGATCTTCAACCGTGCATTGATCTCATTGAGAAGGTAAGTCATCCTGGCTTTTCTCTTTCCTTCTTGTCAACTATTGAAGGCCCCATATACATTGTGTACTTGATTTGTCTATTGTATGATGTCAACCTTTTACAGGATCAAAAACTTGAGAAAACGTTACCTTGCCATTTTCAATAAATCTTGTTAAAATCTGGTCTAAAGATGTAAGCTCTGTGGGTGCACCGTGTTCTCAAATCTTTTTTGTGATTGTGTGTTGGTTCTGAAAAGAATCTTCCAAGCACTCCATTTGTTGCCATTTGGGCCAGAGTCTGGACCCAAATTCATAGTGTTCCTTAACAGCTGATTATGTGCTAAAAAATCCTCTGTCCATTTCATAGAGATCAGTAAGCAGTAAGCCCAGAAAAAAAACATGCTTAACCCCAGAGAAAAAAAGGTTGCTTAAATCAATGACGTAAGAATAGAAGTCTTCATGCATGTGCAACCGTTGTTACATCCACACCATGAAAAGTGCTCAAGCAGCAGCATGATTTTCTGCTACAGTAAGCACAATATTTCTGTTAACTGTTAAGCAGCGTTATGAAATTGGGCCTGGGCCTTGGTTCAGTGTGTATTATTTATCCGAGTGTGCTTGTACAAGCCAGCATCTTACACCAGATCCTATGTTTCTTCTCCCCAGCCCATGGGCATTCTGGCTCTCCTTGATGAAGAGTGTTGGTTCCCTAAAGCTACCGACAAGAGTTTTACTGAGAAACTTTGCAAGACTCACATCAATCAGCCTAAGTTCCAGAAACCTGACTTCCGTTCAGACAGTGACTTTGCCGTCCACCACTACGCTGGAAAGGTAAATCACAAACTCCATTCATTGGCTATTGGGATACCTTAGGCTCTTAAGGACAACATTGACCTTTTTCCCCCCGATACATTGAAATTTTGGTGGGTAATATTGTCCCTTGTTTCAATTTTAAAGTTTATTTAAAAAAAAGTTTTGTATTGACACACTGATATTGCATAGACTTAAAAATAAAAATATATAATTAACGAGTAGAGAAGTATTCATGTCATAAAGCCAAGTTGTATTGAAAGGATTAAAGGGCAGTATGTAAGAATTGTAATTCTTCAATGATGTTTGAAAACACCTGATGTTCCCATTGAAGTCTATGAACCCAGATTCTGTGCGGTGATCATGTATTTTTTGATCATCTTGTGGCTTGTATCAGGTGAACTATTCCGCTGCTGCATGGCTGATGAAGAACATGGATCCTCTCAATGATAACGTCGTTTCACTACTCCAGAACTCCAACGACCCCTTCATCTGTAATATCTGGAAGGATGGTAAGAAATCAATCAACAAATCTCACATCAGTCTCCTAACAAGGCGTAGCTTATTTCAATCAAAACAATTCCGAAAGTGAGGATCTTTCTTTTGAATGCGAGCCTAGAACTAAACACAAACCTTCCTTAACCCTTAACCCCCTACAGTGATTTACATGTTCTAGGAACCTTCCTCACTCCTGCGAATTCCAACACCATATGGTAAACTCAACACCCAAACTGTTGGACTCTGATTATTGCGGCATGCCTGACCACATGTAAAGTATAATCAGTTTACTAGTGCAGTACTCACTCCAACAGATTCCAACAAACCCTGATGTTGGAGTTTGACTGGATGGGGATTGTTAAATGGTATTATTTTACTTGAATGAAGGCTTTTAAGTATTCCTACTTTTTCCTCGTTTTTAACCTTGCTCCTACTTTTTTTTCTTCAAATTCCTACTTTTTCCTACTTTTTTGTCCCACACATAAAATTTAAATTTCATTGAATATTTTTTTCATAAGTGTTACACACTGTCATATGCAAATCACACGATGAAGGGCTTGGGCGCAGGAGTACTGCAACTGTACTTCCAAGAGCTTAATTGAGGATGGAACACAAGTGTTGTCAGTACAGAACATGCCAAATGAGGCTTATGATGCTGTGGACATGGGTGAGCGTCAACAAAAACTACTCCTGAAAGCCTGCAAAAGTCCTACTTTTGTCTTGATTTTGTCCTCACAAGTCCTGCTTTTGTCCTGTTATTTTTGTTGTTGCTGAATCTTTGATCCTTCTGGGTCTGCTTGAAAGCCTTTGAATGTTAGCTTTCCCTGTAGCTTCAATGAAGTTATCATGGCTATATCTGCGTAATTGATGATACTTGTCTTTTCTAATACAGCTACCATTGTCAGCATGAGTGCACTTGCTGGTGGAGATTCTCCATCTGTCTTTGGCTCCTCACGTACTCGCAAGGGTATGTTCCGTACCGTGGGTCAACTTTACAAGGATCAGCTGTCACGATTGATGGTCACACTACGCAACACTAACCCCAACTTTGTGCGTTGCATCATTCCCAACCATGAGAAGAAGGTAAAGTCGAGTACAGTTGCTTGAGAGTTTTGGGGGTTAGAGTAGAGTTTGTTGTTGCAATCTGCCTTCAGTTTCAGATGCCAGCAATTCAGTTGTAATCTCCGAGGAGACTCAGCCAGTCTCAAGAATGGTGAATGTCATTTGAACTTACCTATATCAGACTGTTACACTGTTGTTAAGGAGTTCCTTTGATCGTCCTAGTTAATGCTCTATAGGCATGCTGAGCAGGGGTAACAATGCTGCTAGTGACTCCATACCCATCATGACTGTGTAGTGTAGTTTAATGTTAGTGACATTAGTGATGCCTTTTGTCTATTTAATCCCTTATCTTTTTCATCTTGTACCTCCCAGGCTGGTAAGATTGATTCTCAGCTTGTCTTGGAACAGCTTCGTTGCAACGGTGTCTTGGAAGGAATCCGCATCTGTCGTCAGGGTTTCCCTAACCGTATCATCTTCATGGAGTTCAAGCAGCGATATGAGCTACTGACTCCCAATGTTATTCCTAAAGGCTTCATGGATGGCAAGATTGCAGTCAGGAAGATGGTAAGCTAGGCAATCACAAGCCACACTGAAGATGAATATTCATAACATGGCTAAAGATGATAAGTTATCCAATCACAAGCCACACTGAAGATGAGTATTCATAACATGGCTAAAGATGATAAGTGATCCAATCACAAGCCACACTGAAGATGAATATTCATAACATGGCTATAAGTCAGACAACTGTACCATTGTAAACGTAAAAAATCAGTATTTATGTGTTTAGTACTCACTGAGATGTTGTCTGGCTGCTTTTCTCATTCAGATCGAAGCCCTGGATCTGGAGCCCAACTTGTACCGTATTGGACAGAGCAAGATTTTCTTCCGTGCTGGTGTGTTGGCTCATTTGGAGGAGGAACGTGATCTGAAACTGACTGACATCATCATCCAATTCCAAGCTCACTGCCGAGGCATGTTGTCTCGCAGGTAGGAATTCAAAAATCTTTGGTCCTTTGGCACATTTTGTTTATCACAGTTATCTTCTAGTTATCAAAAGTCTCCACTACATCCCGGAAGGGAAGAAGTTTGTAGTATTTATGAAGTAGTATTATGAAGACGTTAAGGCAAATCTTTTGAAATGTAGAAAATATAGTGGTGTGCATTTACGGGTAGTACGGGGACCGGGTACTCCATTGACGTAACACTGGTACCCATAAAAGAAACACAACCCAAGATTCAAATCACGGCAGTTGTCTGAAGTAGGAGCTTTTATACGGTGTCAACTTCAGCTTTCACAATTGTCATCTGTTGTGTGTTAAATTGCATAACAATGTGAAATCTGTTTTGGTTTTCCATGTTAAGCCTGGTTTTTATTTTGAAAATTCCCCACAAATGGCATTCAAAACCTTTTTTATTTTCATTGTCTGAGAAGTAACTAAGTACTTTGTAAAGTTAGTTAGGGTACCCGATCCCATAATGTTGAAGCGGTTTCTGACATCAGCAGTCAGGTACTCGGGAACCGGTCCTGATGCACACCTTTAAGAAAATAACAGTTCACTTAAAATTCGTGGTTGGGAATCCCTAAACTCTCTGTCTGTTGTTAGACAGTGCACTGAGTCTTAGGGTGAGCAAACATAAGATTACCAAAAATTGAACTTGTGATTGTGATGTGATTCTCAGAACTTGGAGAACCTCTGTGAATAGAAGCAGACTTCTTGCTGCTTCTAAGTTGTCTTGCTTATCTTTGATTTGCAGATTTTACCAGAAACGTGTGCAGCAGCTGAGTGCTATTCGTATTATCCAACGCAACTGTCTGTCGTATCTCAAGCTACGTAACTGGCCATGGTGGCGTCTCTTCACCAAGGTACATACTAGGTTATTGGTCCCTCAAGCAGTCAATCCCACCATCGCACCGTGTCTTGAGATTGTTGCATCTGTCTTTGTATTTCAATTCCCACGATGAAGTGAAGTGACTCCAATCTATAGCAGTTCTGTCATTGCTGTCCCAAACCCACGTATCAGTGGTTCATATTTCTCCTGACCTTAACTCACAGGTCAAGCCATTGCTTAACGTGACTCGTCAAGAAGATGAAATGGAAGCCAAGGATACTGAACTACGTAAGGTCAAGGACAAGCTGGGCAAGTTTGAGGGCGATTACTCAGACCTGGAGAGGAAATTCCAACAGATTGTGGAAGAGAAGAGTATCTTAGCTGACCAACTACAGGCCGAGGCGGAGATTAGCGCTGAAGCTGAAGAGGTAGGTTAGAACACTCGACTTCAATACAGTCTAAACCTTGACTGAATTAAATGTACATTACTGATTGATTTACGCAAACAATTGTATAAAAGAACATTTCATTGTACAATATTGCACCTATTTAATCCAAATTGCAGAGAAATTTCAGTTATTGGATTGATGGATTTCTCTTGCTTTGTCCAGATGCGAGCCAAACTTGCTGCCAAGAAACAAGAACTAGAGGAGATCCTTCATGACATGGAAAGCCGTATTGAAGAGGAAGAAGAACGTTCGCAGAACTTAGCCAATGAGAAGAAACGACTTGGAGGTCACATCCAAGACCTTGAGGAACAGTAAGAATATCTTCTTTAGTTTTTGCTCAATCTTGCTTTTTGGTGGTTTCTCCTAGCTTTGACTACTATGTCAGAATGACGTTGTCAACGTCACTTCACCCTGGGCTATGAATGGGTAAAAGCAGGGTGGAACCAGTGATCAATTTACTAAGGAAACTGTACATAAATTCAAACCATTAACTGTGTTGTGTAATTAGGATCACTTAAACTGAAACAAATTGTTGATGCATTTTCTCCAAGGTTGGAAGAGGAAGAAGCTCAGCGACAGAAGCTTCAATTGGATAAGGTCAGCCTGGATGCAAAGGTCAAGAAATATGAGGAAGACTTGGCTATACTGGACGATAATCATGCCAAGGTAAGTACATCCTGGCAACACCAGATATTGTTTCTAACTTGATTGGAGCTTTTGAAGACTTCTTTTCAGGATCTCATTTGCGCAGTAGAGGACCCTACCTAACAATGGGGTGTGTTTACCTTCTTTTCAAAATTAGTTAATCAAGGAGAAGAAATCAATTGATGAACGTTTGTCTGATGCGGAGGCCACCTTGCTTGAAGAGGAGGAGAAGAATAAAGGTTTGATGAAGCTGAAGTCTCGTCATGAATCTACCATCGGTGAACTGGAGGACAAATTGCGTCGAGAGGAGAAGGTGAGATTAATGCAAATGATTATGAACCATTAGGAACAATATTAACCATTGTTCAAGTCATTTGTATTGGTTACACACTAGTTGACAATGGTTGCTATGGTTTTCTATTGACAGGGACGCAATGACCTGGAGAAGGTCAAGCGTAAGAATGAGACTGATCTGAATGACCTACGAGAACAGTTGAATGAACTCCGTGCCCAGGTGGATGAATTGAGAGCTCAACTGGCCAAGAAAGAAGAAGACCTGCAGGCAGCTCTGCAAAAGTAAATCATTTCACCTGTTTGTTTCTTGATTCATTCTTGATTAGTGGAGGCAGGTTGGTGCAGTGGTAGGGGTTGCATTTACGAGTAGTACTTGAACCAGCTACCCTATTGAAGTAAACCTCGGGTAACAGGATACCGGTAAAAGAAACCAAACCCAAACGTTAGAATCCCGGAAGTCGTCTGATGGGCTTTATAGCTTTAGGGTGCAAACTGCAATTTTTGTTTCCATATAACCATCTCTTGCGACACAGGTTTCATGCCACTTGATCCTGGATTCATGTCCTTCCAAGCCAAGCGACCTTGGCTTGTTCTTGGCAACAAGATTACTAGCTAGTGTTCAGCTTCGTAGGAGCTTTCCATGTCAACACGTTTCTTGCATTGATTTCCATTAAAGACAATGTCATCATCTTAATATTTTGACAGGGCTGATGAAGAGATGGCAGCCAAGAACACAGCTCTCAAGAACCTGCGAGAGTTGCAGAATCAGGTATCAGAGCTGACAGAAGATCTGGATGCTGAGAGAGCAGCGAGAAACAAGGCCGAGAAACAGAAGAAAGACATGAATGAGGTGAAGACATAATCAGATGAGATTTGATGAATATAAGACTTAACCCCCATCCCCTCCGTACTCTCATCCCACCTCCCCTAATCCCAAGACTCTGACCTACATCCTTTACACTTTTAACCCTTTTTTTATGTGATCAGGAATTGGAAGCACTCAAGTCCGAGCTGGAAGATTCCATTGACTCAACTGCAGCTCAGCAGGAGCTTAGAAATAAACGCGAGTCAGAACTGACAGATCTACGTAAATCTCTTGAGGATGAGACTAAGTCACATGAAGCAACTATCACTGAACTCCGACACAAGAACAATGTCATTGTAGAGGGTTTGAATGAGCAACTGGAGACTTTCAAGAGGGTAGGTATCTTGAGACAGTTCATGTCAGCTGAGGTTTCCAAAGGAAAATTGATGAGACTTGAAGAAAAATCCAAAGTCTGTCTATTGTTGAGCTTTTCAAAACAGTAACATTTTGGGGATTGTAATTTTAGTTCATTATTGGAGAGATTCTTCAATCAGTTGTTCTTTTTGGAAATGACAAATCAAAAGGGATAACTCTTGCTCATTGAAATTGTTAAGCGCTTATTAACCCTTGTTGTCTGCTGCTGGCTACTGAAACCTAGAAAATGTTATTAAAAAATCCTGGATTTCATGTTTCATGACCTTTTATCAACCTCCTCCTATTTAGCTAATTTTAGCACCAAATGATAGAGCAGAAAAGAGCTTTCCCAAACTGTATATTTTATTGGGTTATCTCAAAAGAGTAAGCTGTAATAAGCCGGCAAAAAAATATGACCAGCCCCCCTAAAAAACCTACAGTTAAAGGATTAAGTGATTAGTTAATTTGTTAAAACTGTTTGATTTCTTTTTTGATGTATTTTAACAGAGCAAATCTTCCCTGGAGAAGAACAAGTCTAGTTTGGAGGCCAGCCATGCTGAGCTGAATAACGATATCAAGACATTGACTCAGTCCAAGCAAGAGTCTGAGCGCAAGCGGAAGAATCTGGAAGCTCAGTTATCTGAGATGTCCGTCCGTCTTACTGAGACAGAGAGGAGTCGTAATGAGCTGTCTGATCGTGCAACAAAGCAGCAGGTACGATGAAGCTTGAAGCTGTCAGTCCTGACATCCCTGGGAAATATTTGACAATCTGAGATCGAATATCAAGGATATTTAGGCTGTTAGCATGTACAGTATCTGGAATCTAACATGTAAATTATGTTGAACTGAAAGGGGTACGTACCTTCCGAATGTGCAAACATTTCACTGTTCTGCAGCAGTGTACGTGCACCCTGAGGACAGACAGACAAAGGGAGAACAACAGATTCTTTGTTGTCCTTCAGAGTTCATCTTTTGTTGAAAACAGTCCTTGATAGTGCGTTTGTGTGCTTTGTCTATGGGAGAGTGTTATATTACAGGAAAAATGGGAAACAATGCTTAAGAGTTATGTAAAGTACGACTATGTGAGCTTGAAAATGTGATTATATTCATTACAACCAGTGATAAGGGCTCTCAATTCAGACTGATTTCCACATTCTAGAACATTATGGAGAGATCATGAATCAGCCGAGTTTGTGAACTTGTTAAGTAACGCTTCCCTTGTCATTTACCAGTCAGTTAACGTTGTACAAAGTGTAGTGTGGATGTTGGACAAGCCTTCTAAGTTATCTTTAGGGGTTTTTTAATCACCACTTCCATCTTTTCCTTCCTTGTTCTTAGAGTGAGCTGGAGTCCCTGACTATCCAGCTGGAAGAATCTGACACTAAGGCCGCACAGTCCGGTAAATCTGCTAACTCCCTCGTAGCTCAACTAGCTGAAGTCCAGGTAAGCTGGTATCATGTCATCTCAGAAAACAGATTGTCAATAAACTGTATAACTGAGCTGAACACATCTACATTCACGGACAGAGTCACCATTTCCCTTAATTCGGCTCCGACCAGATTTGTTTATAAATTGCTGCAGACGTTGTAACCAACGGAAGTTTTTACAAGAGAGAACATTGCTATCAAAAGAAGGATATCTATCACTTAAAGTCCAAAATTCAATGTTAAATACCACTCAACATGATCCTTTTAAAAATCCTTTTCCAACTTCAGGAAAATCTGAATGAGGAGACACGTCAAAAGCTGGATCTGAGCTCCAAGTTGAGAGCCAGTGAGGATGAAAAGGAACAGCTACAAGAGCAGCTTGATGAGGAGGAGCAAGCAAAGAATAACCTGCAGCGTCAAGTCAGCAGTCTGACTATACAGGTGGGGGATAGATTGACAGCTGGATAGGGCAAATATACAACATGTTGCCTGGCAATTATTACTTGTTTCATGGAGGAATAACTGGACAAAACAAGTTGAAGTGGACAATGATGATGACCAAGGAGAGGGTATAGCTGACTGATCCGTAATGTTTCAAAATGAAACAGTTTTCCAGTTGGGAAGGAATCTATTAACTATTGCTATGTGTTTGTCACAGCTCCAAGATTCCAAGAAGAGACACGAGGAGGACCAGTCGTCTTTGGATTATGCTGAAGAGTCTCTCAAGAAATCCCAGCGTGAACTTGAGGCAACGCAGACCAGACTAGAAGAAGTACTTGCTAACAGTGACAAATTGGAGAAGACCAAGAAACGCCTGCAAGCTGAGGCAAGTAAACAACAGCTGTATTTGTTCTCTCTGTCATATATGAGGAGCAGATAAATATTTTAATTGATCAGGCCTCTGTGTAATTTCTTTTGGTTTATATTTTGTTTACAGCTTGATGACATTGTTGTTGACATGGAGAAGGAACGAGCTTTGGTCAACAACCTCGAGAAGAAACAGAAGAAGTTTGACAGTCATTTAGCCGATGAGCGTGCTGAGAAAGAGCGTCTGTTGCAAGAGAAAGACCAGACTGACAAGGAACTCCGAGAGAAGGAGACTAAGGTGAGCTATTGATTGCTGATGAGGGAAATAGTCCAACTATGGCACTGTTGTCTGGTACTGTACAAATCTTCTACTATACAATTGTGTTGTGCTTCTGAGAATTATTAGTGATGCTTTGAATTGTTGCCTTCTTATGGAGGATAATGTTCAGAACCCATGCCCTGTGACTAGACTCTTTTCTTGTGTCTATTTGTAGCTGATTTCACTCAATCGTGAGTTGGAGGAGTTACAGGACCAGCTGTCGGACAGCGAACGCATCCGGAAATCCCAGGCAGCTGAACTTGATGAGGTTATGTCATCCAAGGATGATGTTGGCAAGAATGTAAGTTCTCGTCTGAAATGACACCTTAAGATAAGCTCATATATCACAAGAATTGTAAAGGGTAGGAAAACTGCTTGTGGTAATTAAGAAGGTAGCAATACAACGAAGCTTGTTGAGGTTATTCAATTTGCTTTGAAGCTCCATTACAGTGATTCAAGTCTGTGAGTTTGTCAAGCAAGTATTATATAGATTGACTTGACTGGACTACCGTCAACATTGGAATTGGTTTCATACCAGAAACATAACTCGGGAAATCTGCCTTTTGTTAAACCATCAAGCTTCAAAACACAAAGGAAAATATCATTTTAGCTCTATTTGACCATGTGCGATGACTAAATTGATTTGTGAAGGGTGAAGGGCAAAACCTAGTTTGATTTACATCACCCCGGCGCAAAATTCCATCTTATGACTAAATTGACTTGTGTTATTCTTAACGCCTTTGTCTTGCCTCACCTCCAATGATCATCAGGTTCATGGTTTGGAAAAATCCAAGAAAAATCTGGAGACTCAGATCGAGGAAATGAGGACCCAGATGGAAGAACTAGAGGACGAACTACAAGCCACTGAAGATGCTAAACTGCGTCTGGAGGTGAACATGCAGGCCCTGAAGACCAACTTTGAGAGGGAGGCACAAGCCAAGGAGGAGGCTCAGGAAGAAAAGAGGCGTGGTCTTATCCGACAGGTGGGTGGAGTCAAGCAGACTAGGGTGGAGTTAAGGAGGTTTTCATAAGGAAAGCAGAAGAGTTCAGAGTAGAGAATGGTTCGAGAGCAAAGTTTGTTTGTCAGAGAACTGCTGAATGCTACCATGATAATCAATAACTGTCCAGATATGACCTGTCAGTGACATGTTAGCTCTTTGGAATTGAACAAGCACCAGTTTTTGTTCACAGCTTAGCTAGGAAAATAACATCCATGCTTCGGGAAGTAGTAAGTACTTGAAGTCTGCATTCATTATTACTTTCAAGCGATGTGGAATTTTGTTTTATTCTTTGGTGATAGCTTCGTGAGATGGAAGGCGAACTAGAAGAAGAACGGAAGCAACGTGGGGGAGCAGTCAATGCCAAGAAAAAGCTGGAGATGGATATGAAGGATTTGGAGGGTCAGGTAGAAGCGGCTAGTAAGATAAAGGAAGACAGCATCCGACAAGTCCGTAAACTACAGGTAAAGTCTCAAGACTAGATCCCATTGCCCTATACTACTGCCCCCTCACTTTGACCAAATCTGTAAATGTTTGACAGACTTCCAAGAACAAATCCTGTCCCCAATCTTCAGATCATGTTTGAATCATTGACAATTTATTTATAATATCCAGAACAGTTTTTAATGCCGAACAGTCCTCATTGTCTGGCATTAATATTACTCCTCTGCACTATATACCTGTGGCTTTTGCCATGCAGATTTTACTCATAAGATGACTCCTACATATGTCTTTTTCCATCATGCCTCATCACAATGATGGTACCAGAAAAGATAGTAAACACTCGCAGTGATTTCACTAATCCAAGTTTAAGTTTCCAAAATTCCTATTTTTGTTTACTTGTCTTCCAACCTGTGCAGGCTCAGCTGAAAGAGTTCCAGCAAGACCTTGATGATGCCCGTCAAGCCAGAGAAGACCTCGCTGCATCAGCTCGTGAAGCTGAACGCAAACTGAAGACAATGGAGACAGACTCCATGCAGCTGCAGGAGGTAATTCTCTCCAAAAATCCCAATTCTCTCAGAATGATTTAACCACTCCATGCACCCTTTCACTGATACATACTTTATCATTCTATATCCAGTAGCATTCAACTAATCTATTATTGAGCGGGATGTTATATTAGTTGAAATGTTTGAATCTTGAAATCAAACCATGTTCTTTGCCAGGATCTAGCTACATCGGAGCGACAACGACGGAAGGCAGAATCTGATAGGGATGAACTGCAAGAAGAGATCAATAGCAACATGACCAAGGGCAACAGTCTACTAGAAGATAAACGTCGACAGGAACAACGCATCGCACAGCTGGAGGATGAGCTAGAAGAAGAACAGACAAATGTTGAGACATTAATGGAGAAAGAGCGCAAGAATTCCCAACAGGTGGGTGATGAGTTTGGTGATACAAAGGGTGAGGTGTTAATATGAAGAGAGAGATACCAATGGATGAATAATCGAAAGAATAATCTTCATTTTATTTTGTATATGTAATATCACCAGATCCTTTCCGGTCTAAGCCGGAAGTGCCTTATAATGTAAAAGTGGAAAAAGATGTGCACTTATTGTTAACGATGTTAGTCTCTGGCTAGGATGAACTTAACAAGAAAAATTACTGGTGACGTCATAAAATGTAAGCGCCCTCTAGCGGCAGGTTGAAAAACTGTAAAAATGTATTTTTAAGTAGATATCCGAGGCAACGTTTGTGGTAATCACTTCAAAATTAATATATATGATTCCCTTTATGCAGACTAGACCTGTATGCGAGAACAAATTGATGATGTCACCAGACCAGAAGTGACAATAAAAAGATCTTTAAACCTTAAAAAATTACTGAAAAATCAACCGCAAGAGATATAATCCAGATTTTGCTTCAAATAGCACAGTAAACAAAGCTCTTGAGTCTTCTTGTTTTTTTTTAATGACGTCAGGATGATGTCATCAAATATTAGAATACAAACAGCCAAAGATCTCTATATATGTATTTAATCGTTGAAAATCAACATAAACATCAACTATGAGAGATACGATTTGGCTTTTTGTGGAATTGATAGAATAATTCATGGTCTTCATTTTCAAACCGAACATAGCCCAACGCCTTGTGTTTGTTTCTACAAACTGTAGTTACTATTATTATTACATAATGCTGTTTTCAGGTTGATGAGATATGAGTGAGCATTCTTAGCAATATGTCATATGTCTTTCTGTTTCTGATGATGACTACAGTTAGAGACCATCACCAACGAGCTGGCCTCTGAGCACTCATCCAACCAACGACTTGAAAATGCAAAGATGCTGTTGGAGCGACAAGTAAGTGTCATACCGATCTCTCCTTTGTTGCCCATGTCAGAGGTCATCCAGGCCAACAACATGCTGGTGTTCAGATAACAATCCTGACCAAATCTCGCTGGGCCCCCGTTCAATGTTGTCTCTCATTGTGTGGTGTGTGCTCCATCAGCTGAAGAGAACAACATTGAGCGGGGAAGTGGGTGACCGTGGCAGGCTCAGGAAGTGTCCCAACCATTTTGGCCGAGATTGTAGGTAACATATACCCTCTGTGACATAAAATATTTGTTCTTGTCTTTGGACCTGTTTGATTGTATCTATTCGATCTTTGACATCATTAGAACAAGGAGCTGAAAGCCAAACTGCAAGAGCTGGAGGCGTCTGTGGGCAAGAAGAGTAAAGCAGTCATAGCTCAGATGGAGAGTAAGATTGCACAGATGGAAGAACAATTGGACGCAGAGACAAGGCAAGTCTACTGAAAACTCAAAAAGCAGCAAATCGTAGATTAAGAGTTGTTTGACCACTTGGAACAGTCTAGTAAATGAAATCCTACAGCAGAGATGTTAAGTGATGTGTGGTCCTTACTGAGTGCCTGATGGACAAAGGGTGACTCTTATATAGGTGTGTCTGTGTGCTCTATGTCAATGTTTAACCTTTAATATTTCCTCATTACATTGTAGGGACCGTAACACCCAAGCCAAAATGGCGAGACGTGCTGACAAGAAAAATAAGGAATTGGCCATGCAAGTTGAAGATGAAAGGCGACATGCTGATCAGTACAAAGAACAGGTGAGGATCACCCCTTCCCTCCAACTATCCGTAACCTACTCAGCTGATGTGCTTCCCTTCCAAAGTTGATGGAACAAGTAACTTTTAGAAACATGAAGGTAGCAGGCCCCAGTAGAGTATTGACTCCAGATCTCTATAGTCCTGACTAAAGCAAATCATAGCAGGGGTTGGATTTTTGTTGCATCTTGAACCGTTAGGATTGATACTCTGTTGGGTCTCAATTTATGAGCAAAATGAACACTTTTGATTTGTGAGTTTCATGTTGTCATCACTCATATTGTTTGGTGTTTAAAGGTTGACAAGGCCAATCTTAAAAATAAGAACCTGAAGCGTCAACTTGACGAAGCTGAGGATGAGTGTACACGAATCAACGGTCAGAAACGCAAGGTGCAGCGTGAGTTGGATGAGATGAATGAAGCCAATGAGGCTCTGACGAGAGAGGTCAACTCACTCAAGAGCAGAATGAGGTGAGAAGAAGTGGTCACTAGAGGGCAGCACACATACATTTGTTTTTATTAAGCTAGATCTGAATCTGATTTGTAACCATGACAAGTTAAAACAACTAAAATAAATATTCCTAGCTGAAGAAACAAATGCTTATTTGAGACATTGCCTTTATTTACATTTTTTTCGTTTGGTTATCTTGAAAGAGGGATTTGCCTTCTCTTGAACAGTGATTAGCATTTTGTTGTCATTGTTTACTGAGATCCTGTGATTCCAAACAATCATAGGCTTGCCTGGGAGGAACATGAACCCAGGACATCCTAGTTACTTGTACAGATGAGTTAACCTGGCTAGGTTTATGTTAATCAATAGTTACAATCAACTGCAATCTATATTGACGAAAGTTGTAAATTGTCTTTTCGTTGCTGACTTGTTTTTGTGTTGGAACATTGCAGTAAGTCAATGAGTAAACTTTTCTCACAGATGTTTTCAATGAGCGAATTTGTGGGTCCACAATTTGAACAGAAAACCCCAAAACTGAGCAGTGTCTTCCTGAAATGACATCACAGCAACAGTTCCCTCAGTTGTCCGGAAAAAGCATGGAAAATATTTAAATGTTTAAAGAAGTGCACTTTTCAATTAAATTAACCAAAAGGGATGTCAAATAGTTTCATAATTCATGAGGAACAGAAGTTCATTTTTTGGACGATTTCAAGATAATAATGGCACTAAAGTCCCTGTGAAATTGTTCTTTCTGGCATGCTGTCATGTTGAAAGAAACAATAAAAGGTCATTTCCAAAGATGGGTCTAAAGACGCATTTTTGGAAATTTCAGCTAGTAGTTTGTTTTTAGTTCTGCTATGAATGGGTATGAATGGTGCGCTGTTGCCATAATTCGTTGGTTCAGTGCGTGACATCGCATAGCTGCAATCGGCTGAATGAGAATGTGTCCCGGATGCTGATTTCTGGTGCAATTCAAAACATTACTGGGCAACGTTTGATTTAAAATCGAGATTCTAAAATATTGCTTTCTCAGAATATAGAGCATTCACTAAGCTGCAAATTCATCAGGTTGGTTGTTAAGCACCCTTCTTCAGATTTGAACAGTGATGATGAGAAAATCCATGCTCTACATTTAACAAAAACATGGGCCATGTTTAATAGGAACAGTTGTAGCTCAAGACGTGATTCAGTCCATTGATGAATTTCCATTTATGGCAAATCGTCTGTTTCTTTTAAAGGAGTGGTGGTGGTGGATCCTCTCGTCCAAGTCGTTATGGGGGGCGACGAAACGCTCCAGTTGAAAGCACCAGCTCTGCCGATGATTTGCCTGATGGGGCTGGCGATGGTGTGGAGTAAATGAACAACAAACACATGCACAATTTGTTCTTCCATTTCTGTCAGGTAGAGGGCGCTTTCCATGCACAGTGGTGCATGTATGATATATCCTGCAAGCATTTTGCATAACATAAGATGGCTCCTAGAAAATAAACCAATCTTGAGAGTACAAAACAAGTTTCAACAAAGGTTAAGGAAAGGGCAGTGGTAATTTGAAAAGCTGGTTTTTTTTTTTAACTTGATATAATTATTCTTGTGTATAGCATAGACTTTTACACAGCTTAGTGAGTTTTCATTTAATTTCAGGTTTTTCCCCTCTAGTATTAATTGTAGGTTTTTGATTATTTTCATGGCACTAGTAGATCTTGAACCAAATCATATTTTTTTTGTTACATTAACCAGTTATGGTTTGCAAACTAGAATTTCATGCACTTCCATTTAGCAGGGTGTAAAGGTTTTTTTGTCTGAGTTTCTTTGTGGCAATTAGGATTGATTTCTGCTGCACTCATCAATTTTCAGTCACACAGTTATGCTGGGTTGGGGATACGTTTGATGTTTCAGACATTTGAGTACTGTAGATGATTGCCTGATCGTTAGATTTGAATTCAAACTATCAACCTCAAATATGAAATCAAACCCAAAAATGTAAATGCTAAAATGTTGCTAAATTAGACAAATTCAACTTTTTTCTCTTTATCAAGAACAGACAATTGCATTTTGTATATTAAAAGTCTGCTTCCACTAGAATTCGGTTCATAATTGATGTGTTTGAACAGTTGAAGAAGTGACCGTGGCATTTCAACTGAAAATAATACGAGATTAATCCAAAAAGTGAAAAAAAGGTTGTAGCTAATATGAGCTTTAATATTGACCTCTGTGCTGTAGAATAGAACTAAACCTCATGTGGTCTGAAAATAAAATGTTCCACAAGGTCAAGTTTGCAATAAACGTTTCTGATACTTTAATTAAAAAAAGTAAGCATTGATTTTTATATTGAACCAAACAAGTAAGGACAGTTTATATATTTAGTTTAATGATAGAATAAAACAGTTTTTCATCAGCGATAGTAATATAACCCATTTCTTTTGACTTTATTTTTCTGTATGCAAAAGATAACCCCTATGCTATTTTGTTATCCAATAAGTTGTTATACTAATACTTAGACATTTAGATACAATGGAGCGGTATTTAGTGTGTATTTTATTCCTCATAGAAAAGTCAACTTTACTCTGCAGTTTTGCCTGTCAGAAAGTTTGCAAAAATTTTGGATTTGCTTGAAATTGTTTTGTAAGCTTTATGAAAGAAAATGACATTACTGATTGATAATGGGTATTTTGTTACTTTGTGCTGAATAAGGGCAGACAAGCTAATCTGTTAAACCTGCAAATTCCAGCCAATGTATAAATGATTGGAATGTGTTTGCTTGTGGAAAGGCATTTAATTAGGGTAGAATAAGGAACTTACTGTGCTAAATTCCAGATAAAAGAATAAATAACTCACGTGTGGGATGTTTCTGGATACTGGGGTTTATTTGAGGTTTATAGCTCTCAACAATTTTCTCTTTCGGCTCTTTGACAAATTAAAGATTGAAATCGTTTAATGCATTCCAGAAAAAAAAAAAGATGTAGATTTCCAAGTTTTGCTGATAAAAGACCTTTGGTTTTTGGTGATAGTCTAGAAGATTTTTTTGGTTTTGATTCCCTTTTTTTTGTATGTCAAAACTACATTTTGTCACTTTAAAGTGACGTAGAGAATCGTCTTTTTGGGTTTTTTTTTTTGCTTGTACATAATGAAATGGATTAAGCAATGAGATTTGCTGTAAATGAAGCCAGATTTCTGCTTAGGAAAATTGGATAAATGCTAACAGAACAAACTGTTAAAGTCCTTACACTTCCCTGTGTATTTCTATTATATCAGGTCATGGTGTACTTTCTAAAGCTGTACACATGGTTAACCAGTAATGACCCAAGACTAACATTTACGTTGTGTAGGTTTTATTCTTTTAATTTCAATCTTATGAGTGATCTTGGAGATGCCAATTCCATGAGGGGACACAGAATATTTGGGGCATGCATTAATTTTAATGAAGTACTATTTCCCTGGTATGTTAATAATATGTTGCTCGCTAAGCTGAGGTTTGCTTTTGGAAATAAGTAATTTTACTTAGAGCAAACAGGATTACGGATTAAATGCATATTTTTGCTTATTTACATTTTGAATTGATTCTTAGATTAATGTGCTTTTATAAGTTAACAGCAGCAGTTTGGTTTATTTTATACTTCTGTTGGAGTTAGTCCAGCAATCGTAGACGTGTATTGTATGTTATATATAGTGCCTTGGTGGTGGTTTTTGATACTTCAGATGCTTGGTAGCCTGGCAGCCATTATGTTGGAAACTTGTTTAAATGCGGCTAACTATAAAATGCAGTTTAATGTTCATACACAAGTTTGATGACCCAGGCATCAATCAAATGTTAACGCATCATCCCAAAATTTAGTGTTTATGAGATACACAGCAAATTATAAGACTAACCCAAACTTTAATGCAGTAATCTTGAAGTAATGAAATTCTAAACTGTTAGGATAGAAAGACTTGCGTAAAACTTGGGATATGTAGGACTTTTTTTAATAAGAAACAAATGAGTAGACTTGTATATCCCTTGTATGCTTATTAATACTATTATAAAATAATTGTCAAGCTCATAAAAAAAATTCAAGCTATTAATCTTTGAAAACCTTGCAAATTTAATAAATAACTCTGTATTGATAATCATTGTCTCTGTAAAGTAATTTTAATATGTGAATGTCATTTGGAGATTTACTGGTGTTCTCGGAAACTTAGACCTTTTGCGTATTGGCCATCTTAGCAATGGGAGTCTATTGGAAGTAGTGTGGTTCCCTATCCCCAATGTCATTTCCATACTTTGGTGGGGTTTTTTTTGGGGGGGGGGGGGGGGGAGGGCACAGTCTATATGGGAAGTGGCTGCAGCCACTACCGAGACTAGTATTTGCGGGGGTCATGATAGGCCAGCACGTTATGAGGCGAAGGGGTATCCCCCCCCCCCCCCATCTCCCTTTATCCTATATACACCCTAGACTATTGTTACCTAACACACACACCCCTGGATTCTGGTAACCAATGACCAACACAAAGGAGGGGGGGGGGGGGGGGGGTTAGGGGATTAGTTAGGGGATAATGCGTACTAGTTTGCATATTAGCCGGATTTGAAGAGGGCCCCAATTTTGGAAGATGGTACCAGCCCATCCCCCCCCCCCCCAACCTTTTGATGTTATGTAGGCCAAGTGTCCGGTGGAAATAAACGTGTCGACCTTTCAGAATGGATGTGCAAGTGCCCCTTTTAGTGATCTCCCCACCAAGTCTGAAAATCGGAATTCCGCCGCCGCTGTACATTCCATTCGCTCGTACCCCCCCCCCCCCCCCCCCCGCCCTGCGAGCGAATGGTTTCCCTATATAGTTTTGTCCGCCAAACGAAAAGAGGAACGAAACCCATTTTTCTTTTGGACAACAAGCGCCAAAAACTACAAAACTCAGTTTCTTTTGGGAAAGCAAAAATCTGGGGTTTTTTTTACAGCAAAATACAAAACGGAAAACAAAATGCATCTCTTTGTTTAACATTAAAAAGCAAAAAGAGAAAATACGCATTTACAATTACAGCCAAATTAAAGTGATCTTACTTGTGCTATTTCTGACCGTTGAGGGGGTACTTGTGACGGTCCATTAAATTATCAGATTGGGTCTTCTGTGGTCTGGTCACAGCCTCTTCTATCAATATTTTTGCGCACGTAAAGCTTGGTGCTCATTCAACAGACTACACGGACAACACCTCGCAATTAACATAGTGCTGGATAGTTCGTGTAAATTGCCCATTGTGACGGTAGTTTGAAGACATTTTACCAGAATTCTTGCATTGTTTGGATGCAGTTTTGTGGTGAGAAGTGGTGAACAGTTGATCAACAATGTAATATCGTCCCCAAGGAGTTTGTGTTCAAACGCTTGAAACATTTTGGTAAGTGAATTAACCATCTGAACTTCTTAATATTGATTCCAAAACCCATTGCTCCAGCACTACCACTGCACTACCAGCACTGCAGCAGCATGTCTAGCTTGAGTAACTCTGTTGTGCGCTTTCTTGCAATTTGCGCAATCTTAAGAATGAGCGCGCATTCTTAAAAACGAGTGAGCATTCTTAAGAATGAGGACGCAATCTGAAGAATGAGCGCTCATTCTTAAGATTGTGTGGGAATATTAGGCCTACTTGTGCAATTTATGAATTTTACGCAATCTTAACAACTGCACGGCATTTTGTGCCTATGTTAAATTTAACGAATTAAAGGATTAGGCCTAAAGGGGAAATAATCATATGACGAGAAAAGAAAATGATCTATGCTTCTGTACCTGTTGAACTACGATAATTTGAATTCAGTAAAAGCTGTGATTATTGTCCCCCATGGGAAGGTTTGTAATATTATAACTGAGGACTAGAACAAGTCTGGGAGGTGCTTTTAGTCTAGACAAGTTACAAGTCCCTCACCATACATGTACGCATGCTGAGGAACACGTTTATTATATGTTTTTATTATCAGAATTCTTTCCACCAAACTATTCCCTTATTATTTCCCCGATACGCACAATACTTCTCTACTTTACATTGTTATATCTTTTCCCTAGTGAATTTGCATTGCCATGGTATAATTATTTAAGTATGGCCCAAGAATTAATCAGTGAACGAGGATGCAGCTAGACTCGCCAAGTGCAGCTGGTTCTCAGCATCGAAAAGATCGCTTCTCTTGTTGCACATTCTTAAGAATGTGCGCTCATTCTGGAAGATTTTTTTTTTTTTGTAGATTGCGCAAGGATCAATTTGACAAGAAAGCGCACAACAACTCCAGCTGACATGCTCATACATGTAAGTCATATTCATTCACATGTTGTAGCCCTGCCCTGGAGATGTTGTGCGCTTTCTTTTGATTTGCGCTATCATAAGAATGCGCATTGAAGTAATTGAACGAAATTTGACGTAAAATCTGGCTCAAGAATTGGCAAGATCTCAACGTCCCGCAACCATGTCCTGATTCTTGCGATTTACTGGACTCACACCAACCTCGTTCCTAATGCTTACTCGTTTCCAATAGGAAGCAGGAATTGGAGACGAGGTTGGACATTCCCCAACTCACTCATGCGCATCATAAATACCATCATGATTCGATGGCTGTTTTCTGTTGCAGCTAAAGACATCGTTTTAGACAAGTTTCCAGTCCTTTCCTCTCTCACAGCACGCGGGCGCACTACTGCTCGCCGCGACGCGAAAATAAGAGGAAATCTTATTTTTTATTTTCTGAACAAATAACAATGACCTGCATACAAACAAGCAAAAATACACAGCAAATTTACATCTTACTTCTTGTCACTAATGTATGCAATAAAAAAAAATATTATAACACAAACAGGTGGATCTGGCTTCATATAAATTGAATTCATCATATAAGAATATTCTTGTCTTTTTCACTTTATTATCCAAATTTTATAATAATTAAGTTGAAAATGCAGTCATTACACCTTTCACCAGCTTGTGCCGTTTAATACATTGGCAAAATTGAACACTTGCTCTTCATGCTCTACGTAGCTTACACCTGCCACTAAAATCAGAAGAAAAACAAATGGAAAGCCCAGGCATGGAAAAGATCCTTGCTGATCTTGTTGGTGAAATGGGATATCAATTAAGTTTGCCACAATAAGCACAAAGACAATCCAGAGGTCTTCTTGTGGACAAAAAAAAGATGTAGTAGCCATCCTCCCCACAGGATCTGGGATGTGACATAAAACAGCCGTCAATCTGTCCAAGCGACAGCCATAATCGTATGCGTCACAAGAAGCAGACGGGTAGCTCGGAGGGCTCCGATAATTTTGCATGCAATTGACCCTGAGTACTTGTCCAGTAAATGTTAAAATTGTATTTCCGTTCGTATGGGTCTTCATTTTTGGCAATTTCTTCGAAATAACACTTCCTGAACACGCGTGAAGGCACAAAATGATTTCTAGGTAAGTTCTCAACCTGCATACGAAATGATGCGGATCGATTTCGCTGGGTTCAAAATGATACCAGAGTGTGGCGTTGTACATACATTGTACATACAACGCCACGTTCACAGATCTAGTTTGTTGCCAATTTACTGGGCGATTGTGTAGTGTAGGGCCCCTGTATTGTTTCGATCAAATTTTAACCAAAACTTTTTTTTTATTAATAAAAAATTACACTGTCAACCTAAAGCAGACTTCTCTTAATGTAATGACACCTTTTTGGGAAATTTTGAACAATTTCTTGGGGTAGAAATTACGATTTTCCTATGCGGTTTATTGGCCGGTTGTAGCTTGAGTAACTCCAGCTAACACATGCTCATCAGGAATTCACATGTAACGCTGGAGTGTGGTCTTAAGAGACCCTTCCTGAATGGCCTCTCCAAAATTGTCCTTTTTCACCTCTATTATCCCACCCCAAATACATACCTCACACCATTCAGCAGTCATTCATGAAGCTAATGATCGACTTGAAACAGAACAAAAAAAACCAAAATGTGAAAAAATTTGACGATTTTGGCGGCTTGTCCATAAAAAGCGTCCTGTTCAAAGGGCTGTCGTCCATCTTGTTTGGCTAATTATGCAAATGAAATGCATCACGTGATGATTATCGAAACAAATTTGTGCGATGTATGTGGGTACCATACCGCTTTCAGGCATCGCTAGTGGATTCAGTTTTTGTCTGGTGCGTTGTCGTTGAAGGCAGTCATTGTCTTGCTTTCTACGACTGCTTTCCACGACAATGCGCTATGCACGACTTGTGCGCTCACTATACATCGCGCGGTGATCGCCATTTTTATTTTCAAGTTGAGCACTAACAAACATCGCCTACTGAGCGTGTAGCATATTTCGATCGTGTTGTGAGCATGCACAATGGCGAGGTCAACTGCTTGGGTCAAAGTCGTGAGCGTTGGCCCCCGCACACACGTCATGCGCGTACCTGTGAATTTGCAGTCATTCACTTTGGTTTTACGACCGTATATTCTTGCATATCGGTCATGCAGGGGTGTATATGGAAGTGCATGTTGTCAACCTTTGCAGCAAATCTTTGCTAAGACTTTCAACTTCACCCACAAAAAAGAGTGCATTTCATGAATAAATTCTTAAAAGGTACACCAATTGAAGAAAGACAAACATAACACTCACTATAAAAACACGGCACTTTGGCACAGAATCATGGAAAAGCTTACAAGTGTGCGATGAAGTGCCGATAACGTGGTATAGAGGTGACCAATTTCAATGCAGTAAACTATTAAACCGTACTATTGATTATAGAGAATTGGAAAATGATGTCGTAGTGCATCATGTGACTGTTTTTAACATGTGACTGTTTTTAACCAATGAGAAGCTTCAGATCTGGGGGAATCCCTTAGGGGTCCCCCCCCCCCCCAAAAGGCTCCGGTTTCTGGTATACGCGCGCGTCACCGTAGCCATGCGCGTCAGCAAAATTAAGAAGTTTTTTTTTTTCAATGTAAGATGATATCTCAAAACCACCCAACTCACTGGTTTGACTGGAATCCTGCTGCTGCACAATTTTAACTTGTTTTTAGATGGGGTTACGATCGAGTATAAGCTTTATGTGGCCTCTCTGGGCTCCCATATATTTTGCATTAAATTTAGTCGGGCACCATTTGCAGTCATTGGCCATTCGGCCGACATTTGAAGAAAAAAGTTAAAAAAATATAAAAAATCCGCATCGCCGCACCACTTTTGGGGCAAGCTCCATACCAGAAACCGAAGACTTTTTTTTGTTGGCCTTATCGATGTATTGGTTTCTGCCACGCGATTGTGACGTCACATAATGAGTGGCGCTGTTCACCAGTTGGCTTATTTGCATAATTTATGTCGGTGAATTCTGAAAGCAAAGTTTGATGGTGTTGGGTTTTGTTGTTGTCATCGTCATTTTACCCTCAAATTTCCCTAACAAATTTTAAAAACCCGCCCTTTAATATCTATGACATACATGCCAGTGTTGGAAATTAATTACCGGTACAAAAAAAAGGTCCCCAAATAAAAGTTGTAGCACACATAAGCTCAGAATAGCTGTTTCAGTGACTCCAAAGTCGAACAAATAATGTTTAAAAGATGATCTTTTGCTAACAAAATTGGTTTAAGTGGTCAAAAATTGCCTCAGATCGCACCACAGAGCGTCTAGAATCCAAAAAGTTCCCGGACCCAACGCCGTTAAGGCTTCGCGTTCGCATTAGTGCTTAAATCAAGGTACCGGTAGGCCCCCCCCCCCACACTTTTGAGAAGCGATTGAAGCCCTTCAATGGTGAGACATGGGAGGTGGTTTTCAAAGCATGTTTGTTGCTCATTTTTTTGTTTTTTTAGACATTCCTGTCATATTTTTGATTTTACTGATAAATAAGTACGCTGATTCACTGGATATGCAGGAAATTCCTAGCCATCTGTAAGATGAAATGACGGACATTGGCCGACATTCTTGAATCATACTATACATTTTTGTAATGATTATTACTCTCTGAGGGTAGTTTACTGCATGTCAGTTGGTTATGCAATGCCTCCAGCTGCAGTTATTTGGCAGATAACAAGTCTTAACAGTGAAGGCTCCAATTGGCAGGAGTTGGAGGCCCTGGATGCCTGATACTGACAGCTGCACTCACTTGTTATCAGAGGACTCTCATTGTCTCTGTGGCATGTATTGGAGTGCCTGTCAGTTACCCTTGAAATGACATGGCAGATATCATGCAAAAAACATAGGACATTTTCCTGAGGCACAATTGGCATGCATTGGAGGGTCAAGTAGGGTAAGGGTTAATCCAGCCCTTGTTCCATATTACTTGTTCAATGTAGAATCGGTATCATTCAACACTAAAGCAACCTGTTTAGTATTTATGAAAGCAGGATGCGACTTGATACATGTTTATAACAAGGACACAAATTTGTGACAAATTCCTGTACCTCTTATGAAGATGAAGACTTGAAGATGTGTACGCGGTACACCCAGTAGTTTGAAAATACCTACAGGTAGAGACGTAAGAATGGCCAGTTGCAAGCCCTCAATTGATAGCTTTACTTGGAAGAAATTTGGGATAATTTCATGTACTGCTTCCCAACACTTAAAATGAAATGCCTGCCCATGTTTTCTTGAAGATAATCCTCTGTAATTTCTGGAAACCTGAGAAATGTATCGAACTTGTTGGTGGGCAAAGAAAGAGAGAAAACATGACAGATTACTTCATACACTATGTATATCGACTTCTGCCCGACTGCCCGTGGTTCCCTCTAAATGTCGCACTTTTGTTACTGTGTGTCTGGAAAGACCCTTATATCAGTTTTATATAAAAGATTTTATACTCATAATGTATCTATGCCCCCGACTGTCTGTGATATTTAGTGATATTAGTGCATTAATAATGTTCTTAATAATAAATTGTCAGTTACCGGTATGTGCTCATCTATGAAAGTATCACTGACTTCAGTGGTGTGTTCAATATAAACTATACCAAGTCGATTAAAATGGGCAAAAAAGGCATATCACAATAATACTGACCGTCCACTGTGTGCACAAGTGCAGATTTTGATTTTTGGGCCGGGTGGAGGTATTTTCATGCTACATGTACCGTAGATACCCACTTCCTATGCAAACTACATCCCCCAAATGACCCAATGCATCACCTCTGAAGTGGACGCAATCATATTCCAAAATGTTGGTTTTCATCCCCATTATCACCCCCTGCTACCCTGTCTGGATAATTTCTGCATAGCACGAACGGGCAGTGTACTGTATACTGTCATCTTTCAATTTTGTGATTTCTTTATGTTAAAAAAATCTCCCAATCAGTACAAGAAAAGTAAATTGTGGTGCAAGTAAAGAAATGTACTGTACATGTTCATGTACCATTACACTATGACCTGCACAGGATGTGCATGTGTACATGTGTGCTATGTAGATTTCTTTGCCATACAGTCAGTGTTTATGGGTCAAATTGCATCGCAGGAGAAGCAGTGCCTGCAGGGCATTCATGTAACCACAATCTCATCCCTATACATGTATGGTCAGAAATTGCCCAATACCCGTTTTCTTTTTGAGCTGATGACTTGTTATGAATATTACATGTCACTCGCATAATGCACAGAGCTTGAGTCTTGTGAATAGGCTTGCTGGAGGACCGTGGACAGCATACATGTACACGCTGATTAAGAAGAGGCCAAGCGCGACTCGGGTTTCCCCAAGTTGCTATAGTAACAAGGTGTGCTAATCCCAGTGCAGAAGGTCCGGGAATGGGATGGAGTGTGGTTGCACTGGAAACACAGAGATGGCCAAAAAAAAAAGAGAAACAAAATTATGATGAATTCTTGGAGACGTAGCATAGGATTACTGGGCTAGTGTCGTGATTCACTGGTATAATGGAATTTATTATCATATCGGATGTTATGTGTACGTAGCTAGACGGTTACATCTATGCATACATGTCCGGTACAGTACCGGGTATGTCTTGTGTTTCCTTTTTAAAAACACCAAGATCTGATGTAATTTCTACAAGGGAACATGTGCATTATTCAGTTTAAATTGTATTGATAAAGGGAAACATCAATGCCATCTGGATATTTTACTCCTATGTTGAAGAAAAAATATCCCTTGAAATTCCACATTTTGAATACATAGTACAGAAATTGGAGCTGAGAGACGTGAAATGGAATGAAACGGAATCAGTTTCCATCACAATACGTCCAAAGGTTATTGTCAAATATGTAATACAGTACATGTACATGTACATACATGTGATGTTGTATTTTAGGTTTCCATTTATGTCAGGTACAATGTATACATGTACCGGTATGTGAATGTTATTTTGGTCCATGGCAGTATTCTAAGGCCACTGTATTTTATTTCATAACCATTGCTTCGATTTTTCACCTTCTGCACAGATCCAGACTCCATCACCAGATAAACCCAGCCAGAACAGGTCCAACCATTGTGAGTCATCTGAGGGGAGTTAGAACAAGATTGTCATAATCTCTCACATGCTCTGGAGCTGGAAACACCCCTACACGCTTAAATGATCTGGCCTAAATAATAATAATCACACTCCGGGGACATGCTGGAAATTCAACCCATAAGAGTAAGTGACATTACTTCAATGCATGGTATTTGACACCTAGTAGAATAGGGGAGTATAATGCTATGGCCATGGTTGGTTTACTTATTTTATTTTGCCTTTAAATGTTTGCCTTTTACAAGTATTATTTCGTTTTGCATGTTTGTGCTTGGATAATACTCAAGAAAGGTTTGTTTTGTTGCATTATTTTATACATAAAATTTTGCGTATTGAGGTTAAATTTTGTTTAAAGACTAGAACTCCGTACTAGTAGTAGAAGGAATAGTGTGATGATGTGTGTGTTCAACTTCATTTCTTGAAAATGTTATGAAAAAGTAAAACTAAAAATGTTTAGTGTTCAACATGCACATTCACATGTTGACATACATGTACATGTACATGTTGTCTAGCAGTAATGTGCAGTAAATTATGTCATGTCAGTATGTGTGCTTTATCAGTTACCGGTAACTTTGCACATGTGGATGTTTGTTCATGTTTGTAAGGAATATTAAATCTACAAACACGCCCCAATTACTCGTGAAATAGTGTTTGCATTCATTGACATCTACAGATCCAATCGTAGATGCTGTGTCTGAATTCAATCCATTGCAAAAGGCTGATGAGTCAGTCCATACAAAATGCACCAGTCTGCCTTTCATACTACATGTAGTCCTTTTTTAGGGGGGGGGGTACGGAGGTGTTATTATTGAAGTCTACCATGTGGTGCTGAGGAGCAGCCAGTTTGGTATGCATGGCTTATGGCCTGACCTTCTAGGCCTTTATGCGGAATGGCCAAGTACATGTACATCCCTGCGCTGCACAATATTGTACATAATATGCACTGCATTGTTGTTTATATTTTGCGCTACATACATGCATGGATGTTTTGTGTTTAACTTACCCAATTTATTCGGGTGCATGTATGTAGGATACATTTCATATTCCTTAATGTACAGCAAACCTGTACATGTACATGTATGTACATACATTAAATGTTTGAGATTATTGTTACTGCTGGTTCCATGCACAAAATTGAGTTTTACCATATTTAAGTGAAATCAGGATGTTGAAATAAGGGAGAAAATCTGATATTTTGGTTGAGGAGAGTCAGTCATATTTGTTGTTATCCCATTGGCATTAGGAGTGAATGGATGCAAGTATAAATCATGCATGCTGTGAGAACAGCAAGTGCATGTGTTGTAAATTGTCCTTTGCTGAGTATGGTCCGGGCCTGGCTAACAACAACACGTGCACTGAACTGGCCCAAGGAAATATGCATTCAGGGATCTCCTTGAAAACACACTAAGGGGTCATCTCAGCAGTCCTTGAGAGGAAATTGGGTATTATTCAGTGCCAGGAAGCTGTATCCTGACAACGTGCATTTCCGGTATCCTTGAATTTGGTTCACTTTCCTTCTTTTGTTGCCTAAATTTGTGTCATTTCTAAGATGCTGGAAAACTTTGCACACATGTAAAACCTGTCTTCTTATACTAAATTAATATGCATTTTAAAGTATGCATCATGGAAACTGCGGCACACACATGCTTTCCAGATCCTTTACACACAACATGTGTATGAAATCCAAGCATTTTTATGTGAATTTTAATACTTTTTATTATTTCTATCTACATACATGTATGTACTTGCACGTGTATTTATGGTGAAAGTTAACATTCAGAATGATGCAAAATGGTGTTTGTTTTTAGTTTTAAGATCGAAATTGAAACCACTCCGTTGCAATATTTCAGACAAAATATTACTAGTAATGGATTTTGACGGACATCGTCTTCTACTAAAGTGGAACTAAGTCTAGGGTTAAGAACAAATCCTACAAGTCTTTTCAATTTTGTAGAAATTATTGTAATTGCCTTATCCGCAACTACCGGTATTTTCCAATAATGTTCATTTGGCTGAAAATATGATTATGAAACTCGAAACACACATTTTGATTTTTCTTTTACTGTAAAATGTGCTTTGCTAGTAAGTATATCCTGTGTTTCTGTTGAAAAACAAATTCATCCTTCAGTTACTGCCCATGCATTGTATGGTTTATGATTTTAATTAAAAACTGTGCACATGTACATGTACAATGTACCACTGTACCTCTTTACAATCTGTGTACACAGAGTGTAAAGCTGTCCCACATTTATTAATACAGGTACAGTTGAAAACGGTGCACAGAGCATGGACTTTAGTATTGATAGAACTCGGCCATTATCAAAATACTGGTATTCCAGTCACTTGATAGTCTGCAATACAATGCATGCAGTACGGTACACCTATGTATCTGTGGGTTTTTTCAGGCCATGAAATATGTACCGGTACATGCGGATATTGTACAGACAAAACATTCACAGTTTAAAAAATGTGCATTTCTTTTTAATCAAAATTACACATAGTGAACATTTTGTTCACATCATCAAATGTAATGAAATTTACTTGATAACTTGAATTTATATTATCTGAGTGTTCCGCACAACTTTTTGGCTTTATGTGACTGCATTGAGTTCTTACACTTTGTTCTTAAATTTTCCTTTTTTCAATCAGATATTTCATTTCAACGACTGCCATTCCAAGAAAATAAAATGGTTCAGTTATAATGCTATTAACTACCGGTAGAGTTTTGCAATTTGTCTAAACTCATTAAGTTGTGATTGCAATTATAGGAGTAATCACAAAACAATATTTTGATTGTATTTTATTGAATCCAATACACATTTTGGATTAAAATTTCATAAAGAAATTTAAATGTTGGGGAAAGGGTTGATAAAATGTGATGTTACTTTGAAAATAATTTTCCATTTCCACTTTGTAATTGCAACGTCACATACATTGTAATTTGTGATTCCTGTCAACATGTTTGGTATTTATTCACCATCTGTGTCTCTTGCATTAGTAGAGAGATTGTGGGCTGTTTCTGCTGCTGCAGCAGGTCTGCTTGTTTCCTTGCTACTCTGTGCTTCCTGTAGTAATTGCTCAGGCGCATAATAAATGAGACTACTCGAATAATCAGTCTGTTATTGAAATGCTAAGGGAAGGGGAGTTTGAAGGACAGTCGGTGTATGCCTGTGTACCTTCACTGTGAGACATTGCAAAGTGTGATAAGGTACTAGACTGGAGAGAAGTCTGGGTAGCAGATGTGGTTTTGCATAAAAGGCTGCACGTCTAGCACATTGCGAATGTCAAGAAATTGTCTTTGTAGTACAGTAATAGAGTGTAGAGTACATGTATACTGGTAGTTATTGATAGCTGTGCATGTGTTGTACTTTTAGTGTACATGTACACTGTACGGTACTACAACACTGATTTTCCTTGAGATTCACTGTTACATGTGTATGACAAGTCAAACTCAAAGACACTTGTCCATAAATTACAAATACGTTTATTAACATGTATGATGTACATGTATGTGAACGTCTTCAAACCAGATTGATATTGTTTGACACTTCTATCAAGTAGAAACTAAGCGTGCATGTTATCATCTTTTTCAAATAAATTGCAAAATGTTTTGCAAAATTTTGAATTCAAGGAACATCCATGAATGATCCGTCCAACATCATACCTGTTACATGGCTTTTGCAGTCAGAACTACATTTTGTAAAATAAATCGCAGCAAACAAACATGCGCAGGTGAAAAGGCTCCATGGAATGCAAGTTTTACATTTGTATACTGTTTATTTTTCATTATTCAGCTTCATACACACATGTACCGGTACGTTGTTTTATTGTCAAGTTCAATAGTTCAGCCTAGGAAAAGAGACCATGTACATGTACATGTACCAGGTACGTATTGCTTGACTGTATTGTACGTGTATGAGTCAAGTCCTATCATGGGCAATAGATTTCCTGCCCTACATACTTGTATAGTACCATAAACCAGCCTGCCTCTAAGCTGGGATTGGATGGGACCTATGATGTCTGCACTGCAGTCTCTCTATGTCTATTGCACACTGGTCAGGTCAGGTTATATCAGGTCATCTTCATAAAATCAGAGATTGATTTACATATCAACCCCTCATCGTTTCAAACTTGTTTTGTGCAAACCGGGCTTATTCCGCTCACTTACTGCTATTTTGGACCCTAACGAGACTTTCAACCCGAGTCAAAACTCTCCACCCTGGTCTGGAGCAGACTGGGGCGAAATCAATCTCAAGATTGACGCAGGCTTGGCCCAGGGTTGAACATTTCCAAAGTGTGAAACAATGCATGTTTTCAATCCTGCATCAAGCCCAAGATTTGTTTAGTGTGAAGGGCTGTATTTTGTGATCCAAGAGTAATTGTAATTTGTAATATGATCAAGCAATAAATGGGATGAACAAGACTGTACAATGTACATTTGTACTTAAAGAGGACCAATTGTTTGACTAGAGGCTGTAAACTAATTAAGTACAGTTTCTTCCAAGGATTGGTTAATTGAATTGTCTTGTAATTTGTTTACTGTGGATACTCAAGCTGAAAAAACCAAGCCTTTAACAACGTCATTTTAAACATACATGTAGGCTTCATTTTTTTATGTGTGTTTGTACTGGAGTACCTATGTCATCCTTCTGGTTCTTTTTTTTATCGTCTTGAAACCAGATGCATCCGTTTCCTCCCTTTTTTGGTCAGATCTATGTAAAGTGAACCGCATCACTGTGACCTACTGGTAAAAAAAAAAAGAAGAAAAAAAGAGAGAATAATTGGGAGGCATGTGTAAAAAAATGTAAAAAAAAAATATTCAGGGTGAGAAAAAGAACTTGAGGAATTTTTATAGTAAAATTCAGATACAATGTACGGTACATGTACTTTTTACATTTTTAAGGGCATTGAGTTTCTGTTGTGTTAATCATCTTTTTCAATTTTTGTTAACCCCTATTCAAAGTTATTTCCAATCAAACGTACACATATACATGTACTTCAATTGCTGATTTACATGTACCAATTTTTTTCAGAAATATGTACAATATATAGAGAAAATCTGCACCTTTAATTGTTTATGTCACCAAAGGTTTATTTAGTCTGCACACTTACACTTTACACACAAAGACCTTTGATATGCTATACGTGTATTTCCAGTTCATTCATAAACACACTGGCCTTATGGCCATGGGCTCTTGTGTTGGCAGAAACCTTTTGTCGTGTTCTGTACTTTGATATTACAGTGTTGACTTAAGAAGAAAAAATGTATTCATTTCATTGGTTGTTGGTCATTAGTCATATTGGACATGGATTGTGGATATGATTGATAGGTGATTTAATTAATTCTGGACTAAGGATTTGCTCTTTGTTGCTAACTATACGGTACAGTACCAGTAGATGTACATGTACATGTAGCATACATGTACACGTACATTTTTTTTGTACACTATACAAAAATGTACATGTACATGTGTACATTGTACATATGCAACACATTTTGTACAGTGTATGTCCATGTACATGTACATGTACATGTACCTTATTTCTTGTACATTGTATTCATGACCTTCAAACAGTGTGTACATGGGTACATGAATATCTACCCAAGCTTTGGATAGTTGCAACATCTAGTCCCCAGGGTGTCGAGCAGTGTGGGCCCACCACTATACTTGCTCTCTCACCGTTAACGTTTGTTTGTATGAGTTGTCTGGGGTAAAAATGTCACGACGTGAGTTACGTAAATGCAATTTTTCCCCAAAGGAAATGATTATTTTTGGGAAGGTATACGTGTACATGTAATAATTAAAATGAACATGAAAACACATAGTTGTTGGAAAAAACAACACCGAGTACTGGTACACTATATAAATCCATTACTTGCTAATTGCGGTATCGATTTCAGGATACAGGAAGAAAGTTTCCTATCCAGGGCTTATTATTGGAAACGAGGTTGAAAATAAAGTGAGCCCTGGGGACGAGGATACGACTACATGTACCGTACATGTACCTTGTACACACACATTGCATTTGTCTGCCAAAGAGGATGATCTTGCTGACACAAATTGTTAGGAATATCAGATTGCTGAAATATTGTATGTAGAGTTCTTTGACATGTGTAGGACCTGTCTAGCCTGATATAATGCAGTCTCTATCCACATACCTTAGATTGCTCCTACCTGACAAGTTGTAAATTATTGTACATGAATGTTGGCTTGAATGTGTTGAGTTTTTTATTCATACAGACAGCAGTTCATGATCTGTGTCGGAAATCGAGATGCAGTTTTGGAATTGTGTATGTTAATGTTACTGTAACAGGTATTCTTAATAGGACACATACCAGTACCTAATTGTTTTTTTTGAATAATTGTTTGTACAGGTTCATTCAGCCTTATGATGAGATGTGAGAGCTGAACTAGAAGTCATCTGGAGAGAGAGAGAGAGAGAATGGAGCCTCCACCGTCAGGCACCAACCACATTTCATCACAACCGTACTCCCAGACTTACCCACACGTCCAACAACCTTACGGTCGGGAGCAAGACTTCAGTGGCTATCCACAGAAGATGGGTGATCCATACTATAGTTCTCAACGGACTGGTACCACAACTCCTATCTACCCAACACCCCTGCCTGCCCTGATTGAACCCAGTCAGAACTATCCCCCTAGAGGACTAGATGGGCCTAAGATTGGAGGGCCACAGTTTGGGTTGACCAGCCCTGGATATGGCCAAGGAGGAGGGACTGAAATGGGCCCTATGATGCGAGCATTAACAGAGGATGATATGTTTATGCCACAACCTCCTGAGTACCGTTCACCGATGCAGAACGTTGCTGGTCCGTACGGTCAACCTATGGGGTATACTTCCCCTGATGGAACTCGTACAGGATATGGTGCAGGACAATACCCAAGCCCATTCAGTCCTGGACATAGTCCTCGTGCCTCTCAGATCTACCCGGTCCGTAGCCATGCTATGTCACCTATTGATAGTGGGTTTGGAGCCAACCCTTCCCAGTATCACCGACAAACAAGCCAGAGTCCTCACATGAATATGGTTAGTCCGACTGGCCAGAACTCAGTCTTCAACAGAGGCACCGGTGTCACAGTACCCTCGCCTGTTGGAATGCAAGGACAGAGTATGTACTCTCATAGTCCCGGTTCCTCTCAAGGTGGGCGGGGTAACACCCACTTTCCATTTAGTACATCCCCAGTAAGCCAGCACACATCTCCTTTACCCTCTCCCAGTAGCCTACGATCACCTGGTGTTGTGAACAGCCCACATAATCTAGCAACAGCTTCACCAGGTCCATTTAATACTCCGTCCAATCCAAGTCCGGTCAATGTGCCCAGACCTATCAAATCCCCTGTGGCAGCATTTCAGACCCCAGCCGCTGTTACTCAGTCTGGACACCCTCTTGTGTCCCCCAAAGTCAGACCTGTTGACAATGGTGACCACAACTCTACTGGAACTCCATATGTAGAACTTGTTCACTCGAGGAATGACACTCAAAATAAAACTCACTCATCGAGTAATCCAAAGTCACCAGAGAGCCCTTACCCAAAGAAGAAAGAAGACAGGTGTAGCAGTGGACATTTGCCCAAACTAGAAGAGATGGTTGCATTTCTTGGCGAGTCTGCTACCCAGGGGATTTTAACACCAAACGATAAAGAAAACAGTGAAGAAAATGGTGAGAATGAATCCAAGGATGTAGCCAAAGTTGACAACAATTCAGAAACCACAAAGAAAACAAATGGAGAACAACAACCACCTTCTTGTGTGATTCATACAGGGAGCGTTAAGTCTGCAGAAAGACAGCCAGATATATCAAGTGCTAAGCAACATATCATTGTTCAGGAAAACAACAGGTGTAATCAGGGAAATGGAAGCCCAAGACCCAACAGCAAATCACCAAGAACTGACAGAAGTTTCATAGATGCCAGTCCCAAGGGTCCTAAGACTAACGGTGATGTCAGAGAGAGAAGTCCATTGCCGAGACAACCAACAAAGTCCCCTAAGTCACAAAGAGGAAGTAATAGCAACAAAGACACCTCCTTTGATAATCTTAATGGTCCCACTGAAAATGCAATCACACAGAAAATAGCCATGAATAGTTCATTGGATTCAGACACAAGAAGGACCCAGTCACCACAGAGCTTCAAAGTTGCCAATGACATCTCCCAGGTTGACAAAAACTCAATGAATGTAAACAACCAGCTCAAGCGTAAATTCTCTGAGACGCAAAATGACGTCTACCACAACTCCTTCAACAGCTATCCTAGAAATGGTGGGCAGTGTGTTACGGCCTACCCACTAACATACACCCCACCTAACAGCGGTAAAGAGATAAACCAGTGTGGTCCTAACAGTCCAAGAGGTTCCAAGTCCCCGGCAAGAAAGGCCAAGGAAGATTTCTCTGATGGTAATCCCCGCAAAGTACTAAAAACTTACAGTGGAAAGAAAAAAAGGACTAGTGTAGACAAGCAGGGTAATGCCATTGTATTACCCAGTCCTCTGCTTCCCTTGTCTGTGACCGATCCCCCAAAGCCAAAAGAAGAGAAGCAGACAAGTTCCGAGGAACTTCCTCCAACCAATGTTGTTAAAGAAGATCAAGGTGCTAATCCACAGACCTCAACAACAGAGACCATTGCACCACCTAGAAGCATTACACCAACCTTCCAGAATCCAATGACCACTCCTTCAAGCCAACGTACAACTCCTGAGAAACCTGTCGCGCCTCATTCACAAAAGGCTCCTCCCAGTACCCCAACAGGCCAAGCTATATCTGATGATCCATCAACCCCTACTCCTACTAAAAGGCGAGGTAGACCACCAGGCAGTAAAAACAAACCAAGAAAAGAAGGTGACACCACAAAACCCAGAAAGAAACCCGTCAAGAAGAATTTTGACATGAGTTTGGAAGTCAAAGATGAACTTGGAAAATTCAAACACCTCAAGTCATCTGTGAAAGGCAGAAGTTCAGATTCTCCGGTTCCACAGCATGCCCGAGCTCGTGGTCCCATACTAAGAATAACTGGTACCCGTGACAATCCTGTCTCTAGTAAGATTGTGAACAATCCAGATGCATTGGCAACAAGTGCTTCGGTACCAAGTAAAAAACGTGGGTCAAAGCATGACAAGACCTCCAACAAAAACATTCAGAGCGTGAGTCGAGCTCCTCTAGGACCTGCTACTAAACAATCTCTGACTGTTAATAATCCAACGGGACCATGGCTATGTGCACTGTGTGGCAAACCTGCTAACTATGACTCCTTAGGAGATCTGTATGGTCCATATTACCCTCCTGGATACCAGATTCCTATTCTCAGTCCACAAAGTACTCATGAAAAAACTAAAAGTGTTGTTGCTGCTGCAGCCAGCAAGAAGCAACAACAACATGTCAGGACAAACCAAAAGGGCAAATTAAAAGCCAAAGTCTCACCCATCCCTAAAGCTGCCAGGACATCTAAGGTGTCGTCCAAAGGGAAAGCATCAAGAACAACCTCAGCACAGCGTCAACGCAAATACTCAGATGAGGCAGAATATTTCATGTTCTTGGAAGAGGCAACTACGTCATCAGGTCGAGTGTCCAAGACACCAAAGAGAATGACTTATGAGATCTCCAAGGTAACCAGCCATCGTGGGGGTAATCGAAGGAGGAAATCAAGTGAAGTTGAAGACAGGGGACCATGTGATCCTAATGAGTATTGGGTTCATGAGGATTGTGTTATATGGACCCATGGTGTATATGTTGTTGGAGGAACTCTGTATGGACTAGCTGAATCAATCAAAGCTACACAAACAGTGGTGAGTAAAGACCAGATGTTTGTTTTTTTTGCTTGGCGTATTTCAAAAGCACTGCATTTGCAAGTGATGATGATGCTACTTTTCAGTGAGGACAAATTATGATGAAACACATTATCTTCCCATTTGTTTTTGTTCAGTGAAAACCATCTAGACCTTTACAGGGAACCTCACCCCTTATCAGAAACATTTCCAAATTATTGTAAACAAGTTATTAAATTAAATTTAAAAAACAGCTAAATTTTTGACAAAACTGCCAGCTGTTTCAAACCAATATCACACATGTTCAAAATCAGGTTTTCTTGACTAGATGATTGAAATGGATTGTTTTAATAGCCCCTTATGTTCAATTTTTGTTGTATTGTACATGTAATAAGTGCTTCGATTTTCCCACCAGGAATGACTTGCAGCGATACATTTGTACATGACCTGTAAATGTACAAAATATATCTGATACTGTAATATACTGTATACTACTTGTAATCATTTGAATTCTCATCCATATCTTGCCTGCCCTCTTCCCACTTGTTATGTATTGTGTGTTTCCTTTATATATATTGTACATTTATATGTACATTGCCTTATGTATCCTCTGTGTCATCATTGTTCCCTCCTCAGGCGTGCTTTGAGTGTAAAGATAAAGGTGCTTCACTCGGTTGTATGAGTAAAGGTTGCAAGAAGACTTATCACTACGTCTGTGCTGTTCAAGCTGGTGAGTACTTGCATAATGGGTCAGTCAATAAATGTTGGGTCCAAGAGTATGACATTTGTTGGTGTCCCTGTTAAACCTGACCTGTGTAATTTCCCAAGCAAGTATCATTCAAACTGATTTCAAACTATATTTTTATTTGTTTGACATGTACTTTGCTTTACATGTACATAATCACCTTTGGAGATGGAAGGCATTAAAGAACGTGGGCAGAAATAAAATAAAATTATATCTGTCGAACAGGGACACAAAAGAAATTGGACCCCAAATGTATGGAACGACCCACATGTTAGCGTTATAATCCTTCTGTTTGTACTTCATCATAATACACGCGTACATGTATTTGTCGAGTGTAATGCTACGTATGAAGTGCAGAGTTTTCACTTGCATAGGTACTGGTTTAAATAAACTTGTTTTGCAAGTTCATGACATTTTTTCTTTTCCAAGCTTACAAAACCTATGACTTCCCAAAGCATTTTGCTTGCATACAACTGTATAATGTTACTCAGGATCATGTCTGCTTGTACTGGAAATTCCAGCATAAATAAAAAAGTAAAAACCAAATGGATAGAGTTACTTGGTTTTGCTTTGTGGCCTGTGGAACGCTCGCTGCATTTGACTGCACAGAGTGACATAGTTTTGGCTTCATGCCAGGCAGGAAAGCGAGGGGTCATAGAAGGGTCCAGAGTAGGGTAGGAAGGAACTGACTGACAAGGTGGGGGGGGGGGGTTTGCTGAATTCCTTCAGGATGTCATAATGTACAGTGTGTCCCTTGCCATGTGTGTGTCTCTTGCCTGTGTAAGTGATCTAAACTGAATATGTTGACCCAGATACTGCCATCTTGGGACGTTGTGGGACGTCTTTACCTGGTCCCCTGAAGTCAACATAATTAGTATGCATGGCTCAACATATAAAATGTGATGAGACAGATTTCATGTGCACTCAGTCTAAAAAATACCCTTTGCATAATATTTGCAGTTTTCCGAACCTACTAGTATAATGCCCCTACATGTATGTTCATGTGGCCTTTCTTAGCTTGACACTGTGCCAGAATTAGCCAGACATTTGCCAGTGTGTTGACTAGTCTCCGCATTTCTTGTGTGGTTACATGTGTAATGCTGCCGGTCTGTTTATAGACTGCAGTTGACGTAGACTACATGTAGTACAGTTATTCCTAGAGAGAGAGAGAAAGGGGACACTGCTGTTTCCTGTTACTAACTGGAATTCCTTAATCACTTTGTCTTGTGTTTAAACAAACACAAGATTCATGATTTTAGAGAGTTTTTATGTTATACTTCTGATTTGTAATTAACAAGTGTTCTTATGAGGCAGTTAATTTAATATGGCAGTCCTAAATGTTTAATTTTTTGAGGTACGTGTAGATTTGGAAAATGATTATAGAATCAGTAAATTACTCTTTCTGGTCCATTTTTGTGAGCAGATACCTCAATGTTTCTTTTTCTGTGATATACATGTAATGTACCTGTTGTAATTACCTCATTCTCGGAATGATATCAATAGTAGTCACTTGCAAATTTTGTGTCCGTTGCATAAAAGTTGCGAAACAGTAGTAGACATCTACTAATCAATTAAATTTCAAAGATAGGGTTAAGCATACATGTACGGTAGGTATTTATTAAGTGTTTGAGACAATTTGTTTGATTTTCTGGTTTTTTTATGTGAACGTTTCTTCTGTCCTTGCAGAGTGTCAACTACAAGTGGACAATTACTCCATGATCTGCCCTCAACACAAGGTAAACATAATCATTGAATTATGAATTAAACCACGTAACTGTCAAAACCTGTTGGAAGGGGATTGTCGACAGGGAGACCTTGAATACTGCTACCACTTGTGAAGCATCCATCTTAGAGGGCAATGCCTTTGTTTTGCTGGGGTATGCATGAGCAAACCTTCTGTGCATTAACTGTTACTAAACTAAATCCATCATTGACAGGCACTCACCATTGCTGACCCATCACATCTATCAATGTCAGTCAAGGCATGGTACCCTCAATTAACACAACTACCACACTATTCATAAGATGGATTTTTGTTCCCCAGAGTTGTAATGACTCGAGTCAATGACTTGCCGACTCGAGTCACAATTTTTGGTTGCTCGAGTCGACTCGAGTCCTTAGGGGAAAATTACTCGACTCGAGTCCCTCATCAGAATGACTCGACTCGACTTGAGGAAGGCTAATAAGACTCGAGTCCCAAAAATAAAAGCAAAACTTTGCAGAATTTTTTTTTTGAAATGGCTTACGCCAGTGCCGTTTTTTTGTTCATGTCACGTTAGAATGTTAGCGAATAATGTATACATGTACAGACGCGGTTTGATCGGTGTTCCCATTTGTTGAATGGCGATCAGCTGGCACCCCTCTTTTTATTTTCATTAAGAGTCGAATGTGGTTTCACCACATGTCGTGGGCCGAGTGTAAAATTTAAAAAAATAAAAAATGACTTTCTCTCTTGAGTTTATTTATTGCATAGTGTTCAAATATTTGTGACTCGAATTGACTCGAGCTAAATACTTGACTCGACTCGACTTGACTCGACTACACACTGTGACTCGACTCGACTCGACTCGACCTTCTTGACCTAATGACTCAACTTGACTCAAGTCACTTCTTTAAAATGACTCGACTCGACTTGAGTCACAAAAATCAGTGACTCGTTACAACTCTGTTAATGTTCCCTCAACGTATAAACACTGTATACTCGGTGTGTTACCTCCCGAGTGAAAATTGGGGAAAAATACCACAGCCTGTCAATTGTACCAATATGAGCCCAAATTACAGAACTGTTCAAACCTGTCACCTGATAGATTTTGACGGATAGGGGTATTGGTCTCCATATGGTCACTGGGAGAGGGAAGGTAAATTCCTGAAACATGAAAATGAAAAATTGAAAATCAAAAACTGGCCAGACATGAGTGCAATAATTATAAAGTTGCATCACAAACACATCAAGACAGTCTTCTGAATTTTCTGTTCTAGAATCTATGTTCAAGTATTTTTAGTTACATGTAGCTGAACATCAGAATAGATGATAATCCAACTCCTACAAACGCTGAAATTTCCTTTGATGTGATCAGTTAATAAGATTCATTTTTTTCACAGTAATTCTTTCCATTTCATTGAAACATTCTGAAATCAAAATTCTTTTTCTTTGTCATCAGGACAAAGTTGTAAAAATGAAAGATTTGACATGATACCCAGAGGAGTAGCATCAAAGCTTGATCTTTACACAGCGTTTCTGCATCCTGTTTCATGGAGTGCCAGGTAGCATGACCTCTGACGTCAGGTGACCTTTGAACTGGTAGTATGGTGACATCATGCTTTATATGTAGTTAGCTACCGTAATTGTATGGTAATATCATTGCTGTATATGTTCTACTTTGCTCCGGTGAACCTGTGTGAAGATTTCAAGGCGTTTCGTGCAGAAACCAATCTGGGGATTGGTTGTTTTGAAAATTTTTGAAAGCCTTGTTCATAAACAATTTGTAAAATAATTGTTCTACCATAGAAAATTATCAATCACAAATGGTGATTTCATAAAAAAAAAATATTTATGTTTCATTCGTGGAGATCATAGAAGTGTGATTACTTTGTATTTAGTTTGTTGCAGTACACATTTGGTAGAGTGAGATACATGTAGTAGCATTGAACAAGTTCTAGCACAGATGTGTCTGACTGTGCTTGAATTCTGTGGACACTTTTACCACAGAACCGTTATTATTCCTCAGTTTGTTTCTGCTTGAGTGCGTGATGAGTGATTATTTGCAGAATGAGTTTGTTGCAAATCAAAGAATAAAAAGCCAGCTCGTACCAAGCATTGAAAATAGCGGGACCATTTTAATCAGAGCTGAATGTCTGAAAATTCATTGGGGTAATTTTAATCTTTAAAAATAGGCTCAGAAGTTCTGGAAACTGTTTTTGATTCAAAAATTCAAAAGAAAGAAATATAATCATTATTTAGAAAGGAAGTCTTTTTTTTACTATCACAAAAAATCTGTCTTTACTCACCTCATAAAAGAAACTTATAAAATAAGCTTTCCTTTTGTTATCCTGTTTTTGGGTTATATCCACATTCTCTTCCATTTTTGTAAAAATATTATTGGAAGTCTTCCCATCAGAAATTACAAAGAAAAGTAATACCGTAGAAACAAGACATACCCAGTGGACACATGGCTTAAACATCCAATTTTGGATCCAAACTGGCTATCCCCTTTTTGAAGAAGTGTGTTTATATCTTAACATAATGGACGTAATTAAATGTGTATATTGTGATGGAGCATCAACATTCACAAATTCATTATCTGTGTATGCCAAACTGAAACCAATTCACTGATGTATAATACAGATGCCGTCTTTTAGGTTATAGTGGATGATTTTGGCCAGCAGTTTCTTTTGGATGGACAAAATTACATGTACATGTTGATTAACATATCAAATGGAAAGTAGTTCAGCCAGCCACAATGAAACTAGAAGTCTGCACCTAACCTAACTTCAGATGACATGTTAAAGGAGTTAACAATTCATAAGATGGAATGAGTTTACCGGTACATTATGGAAAGGCCATATTTTACCGAGCGATAATATTCAACCCATTTCACAATTTAAAGGGGCACTGCGTCCTGAAATCCCCGACAATTTCATGTTTTTGATTGTTTACTTACCCTATTTCAAACATCTGGTTGAAAGGAAACCAACCTAATGTCTTCTTCCATTCCCGAAAAAAACAAAAACAACCCGATTGTTTACATCGGACACGACGGAGTATGATACATGTTTCCTGTCGTTTTCATACAATTTACGATACACTACACAGCACCGTTCTCAAGCACAACGGTGACCAATCAACAAGGCACAAAATGTGATTTCTTACACGTCCGCAAAAGGCGAACCCTTACGGCTGGAATCACGACTAGCACGAACAGTCCGACTTTTTGGGGTCGCAATAGTGGACCCCAAAAGTCACTCTCGCACGAATACTACTAAAGCGCCCAGTTTTTAAAGGATACATGTAGTTGTGTGGATGTTTATATTCTATTTTTAAATGTTCTTTCCAATTAACATCATTTCGTTCAAAATGCATTTTGTGGCCCAATTGAGCGTATTCCAGGATGCAGTGTCCCTTTAAAGCCACTCAGTACTTGTTTATATAACTGACATAAAGATCCTTGTCATTAACAGTTAAAATTAACTTCTTTTTCAATAAAAAATTGGTTAGAAATGTATTTCTCTCTTCCAAACTTTTCCAAAATATATTTCTCTCTTCCGAAAAGTTTGAACCCAACTTTGTAGCTACTGGCCGGCTCTTGGGAACAATGTGCAATGCTCAACGCGCAACAGCATTCATTTGCAGTAAATTTTGCACCTTACTGCGCCATGGAACAAGGATGATCCTTACTGTTGAATAGTATTTCTCATTCACCATGGGCGAATGGGACTTTTTGAGCCCAGGTGTGAATGGGAACAATAATGAATGTCACGTGATGTGAGTTCCACCAATCAAATGACAAGGATCTGTATGTCAGTTATATTTTGCCAATGAATGCATGGTTATTTCAAAAGATAGGGGGCACATGTTATATTCTGAAATAAGGAGAAATATTTTTTCTCTCTAATATTTCGGTATTTGTATTATAATTTGAAATCTTTCTCATAAAATTTAAAGTACGTTTTTAACAATCGTAAAAAAAAAAACTAAAAAAGGGAATCGGGTATTTCATAGTCATAACATTTTGTAATTTATTGTTTTGGTATTCTGTAGGACTAACAGGTTAACTCACAATTTACCCACATTGGCTTCCATGTTCATGACTTCCCCGTTTCATATTTGAGATAGTATGATGTTAGGTGATACAAACAGTGATGAATAATATACCACAGTGCAGGCTGTTTTCTGTTCTCTAGAGCTGTAGTCATTTTGCTGCTTAGTTGAGACAGATTATCAGTCCAATGCAATTTGCTTCACATTGCATCTAATGGTTCTTTGTTGCTGATTGTCAGATTATTCTTGGCTTAACACAGAATAGCTCAGCAAAACTTTCTGTTTAACAGTTCAATAATGCTGGCTGTCTACCATAAAATAACCTTTGCAGGAAAACCTCTCCATCCTTACGATTACACTCAAACTTCTAAGATGTCAACAAGAGCTCAGAGTAAACTCCTCTGAAATGACATTTTCCCACTCAGGAAAAATCACTTTGTCATGCTTTAAAGGAAGGCATTATTTGTTTTGCCAAGATACAGGTATGCCTCCTGTTGGTTACAGATTTTTGTTTGTTTATTTTTGCTTTTATTTTGCTGGTTTGCTGTTGATGATCAAGGTTTTTCTGTTCAAAGTTTCTCACAGTGAAGAGGTTTTGTGGGGCGTGATTTATGGAGTTTTAATTGGAGGAATGGTTGACAGATGTAGAGACACATATGTAGTTTGTTTTTGTCTCTTTCCAGATTTTCTTGGAGAATGTTTTTTTGTTGAAAGCAGACTTTTTTCCAGTTTGTTCCTTATTGTATACAATTTGGAAATTATTTGTTGATGTGCATAAATACTATCTTTGATTTGTGTTCATGCAAGAAGTTGTTCATAGACAATGCAAAGTTTATTATCGGTTGTTGTAAACAATGAGTGTGGTTGGTGAGGTATGTGTTTTGTTTGATTAGAAAGTGATTTGTACTTGCGAAGAACAATGTAGAGTTACATTCTGTACATAGACTTACTTGTAGAACAAGCCACTTTGTGTATCTACATTCTCTATGAATTTGGTTACCAGTGAACAGAGCTAAAGAGTGGGATACCAGCCAAACTGTGATTTTACATGTGATATAGGTCCTTGGCAGATTTACTTTACATACATGTATAGATTTTCATAGCAAATTTGGTATGTTGGGTAGTTTCTTGATATAAGTTCTGTAGGAACTTCTCTTCAGAAAATGCCTTAAGTTTTTTTCTTTTCCTTAACCAGTTCGAGCCGGATTTATTTTGACAGTGATCTGACCAAGGCGCGGTATTATTTTAACGAACTTCAATGCCAGACGGGCCCAGGCCATGATCTGCGGGTAGCACACCCTGATTTTTCCGGCCGATGTGAATTTCTGAAAACATTTGCGTGTATATACGTCCTCAAGCGCGAACTGGTTAAAAGTCTGTGAAACAAAAGTTTGATTGAAGGGTGTAAGATGTGAATTACTCCCTGGTTCTTTGCATAGAATGCTCAAGATTTGTTGAGTTGAGTTGGATTTGACAAAGCAATGCATTATCTAGTTATTAACTGAGTAAGGATTAGGACCAAAGCTCTTACAATGAACCTTGTATTTGTTAAAGAGACCTTTCATTTAACACAAAGTGGACTGAAACGTTTTACGCGACAATAGAGTTAATTTTCCAAGATCCTGATAACGAAATCAACTTGGAATTTATATGAAAGGTGTGCATTTAAAAAAATGGATGCACTAAAGTGAAAATCCTCAGTTTCATCACCTAAAAAGAAGGGTTTTTAAATATCGAAAGAAAACATGTGTAACATTGTTGGTGACTTTATTTTTTATGCAGTGTTTGGTGACTATAACAGAAGGATTTAGCTTGTTGAGCAAATGAATCACATCTTTATCAATAGCTTGGTAAAAACAGTTGCTTTTAATTGCTTTAATTTGTTTTGAGGATTGTAAAAGGCGAAAACAAACATTGTAATTGAAAGTTAACACTTTTTAATTGGGTTGCTTATTGTTACGTAATTCCTTGCTGTTTTTCTTTTTGTAAGTTTATAATACAGTTCAAGCGTTAATATCTATATCATGGAGAGACAGTTTGCATTAAAAAGTTACTGAATGTTAACAGAAATATTTGTGGTTAGTCTCAGTTTGTGTGAGATTTCCTTATTTTTTACTTATTTCATTGCCAAAGCAATGTAGTTCATTAGCTCACAGTTCATTGTTTTCTTTGCCATTTAATCAACCAACATATTACAAAATATAATTCAGAAAGAATTGTTTTGGCTTTTAGAAATAAAGAAGTTAAAAACAAATGATTTGGACAATAGAGGGTTTTCAAAGCTGTTTTCCCACAGTAAACGTACAGGTATATGCGAGATTTGACCTCAGTGAGGTCACGTTAAGTTGTGCCTCTGCAAGACTGATGAAGTCATACGCATATTTGCCTATTTGAAGCAATTTAATTTTTTTTGCCCAAATTGACCCTAAAAACCACAAGGGGTTAACCTTACTTTTTTTTTTTAATGAATATGGCCCCCCCCCCAACAAATTGCTTTTCTGTCAAATATCTCTTTTCTGTCAAATACCACTGGGGGCGACCATTATTGTCGCCCCTAGCGGTAAAACGCTTGTACCGCTGGGGGCGCCCTTTGTCGCCTCTAGCGGTATATATTAACGCGCGTACGGCTGGGGGCGACCGTTATTGTCGCCCCAAGCGGTATACCGCTGGGGGCGACCATTATTGTTGCCCCTAGCAGTATATATTAACGCTTGTACCGCTGGGGGCGAGCATAGCGCTTGTACCGCTGGTGGCGCCCTTTGTCGCCTCTAGCGGTATATATATTAACGCTCGTACCGCTGTGGGCGACCGTTGTTGTCGCCCCTAGCGGTATATATTAACGCGCGTACCGCTGGGGGCGACCATTATTGTCGCCCCTAGCGGTATAACATTTGTACCGCTGGGGGCGCCCTTTGTCGCCTCTAGCGGTATATATTAACGCGCGTACCGCTGGGGGCGACCATTATTGTCGCCCCTAGTGGTATATATTAACGTTCCTATCGCTGAAGGCGCTATTATTGTCGCCCCTAGCGGTATAACGCTTGTACCGCTGGAGGCGACTTACCGCTAGAGGCGACGTCGCCCCTAGCGGTACACGGTACCGCTAGAGGCGACGTACCACTAGAGGCGACGTCGCCCCTAGCGCGGTACACGGTACCGCTAGGGGCGACGTACCGCTATGGGCGACGTCGCCTCTAGCGGTAAGTCGCCTCCAGCGGTACAAGCGTTATACCGCTAGGGGCGACAATAATAATGCCTTCAGCGATAGGAACGTTAATATATACCACTAGGGGCGACAATAATGGTCGCCCCCAGCGGTACGCGCGTTAATATATACCGCTAGGGGCGACAACAACGGTCGCCCACAGCGGTACGAGCGTTAATATATATACCGCTAGAGGCGACAAAGGGCGCCACCAGCGGTACAAGCGTTATGGTCGCCCCCAGCGGTACAAGCGTTAATATATACCGCTAGGGGCAACAATAATGGTCGCCCCCAGCGGTATACCGCTTGGGGCGACAATAACGGTCGCCCCCAGCCGTACGCGCGTTAATATATACCGCTAGAGGCGACAAAGGGCGTCCCCAGCGGTACAAGCGTTTTACCGCTAGGGGCGACAATAATGGTCGCCCCCTGTGGTATTTGACAGAAAAGAGATATTTGACAGAAAAGCAATTTGTTGGGGGGGGGGCCATATTCATTAAAAAAAAAGTAAGGTTAACCCCTTGTGGTTTTTAGGGTCAATTTGGGCAAAAAAAATTAAATTGCTTCAAATAGGGAGAAATATATAATGAGTATGAAAAAAATGATGATATAGCTGAACAGTAGTTTCACCACTGAATATTCACCAGGAAACCATGAATATTCATAAGGAGAAATATATAATGAGTAGGAAAAAAATGATGATATAGCTGAACAGTGGTTTCACCACTGAATATTCATCAGGAAAATCATGAAAGGAGAAATATATAATGAGTAGGAAAAAAATGATGATATAGTGGTTTCAACTATATCATCAATTTTTCCTACTCATTATATATTTCTCCTTATGAATATTCATGAATTTCCTGATGAATATTCAGTGGTGAAACCACTGTTCAACTATATCATCATTTTTTTCCTACTCATTATATATTTCTCCTTATGAATATTCATGGTTTTTTGGTGAATATTCAGTGGTGAAACCACTGTTCAGCTATATCATCATTTTTTTTCATACTCATTATATATTTCTCCTTATGAATATTCATGGTTTCCTGGTGAATATTCAGTGGTGAAACCACTGTTCAGCTATATCATCATTTTTTTCTTACTCACTTGTGAATATTCATGGGTTTCCTGGTGAATATTCAGTGGTGAAACCACTGTTCAGCTATATCATCATTTTTTTCATACTCATTATATATTTCTCCTTATGAATATTCAGTGGTGAAACCACTGTTCAGCTATATCATCATTTTTTTCATACTCATTATATATTTCTCCTTATGAATATTCATGGTTTCCTGGTGAATATTCAGTGGTGAAACCACTGTTCAGCTATATCATCATTTTTTTCATACTCATTATATATTTCTCCTTATGAATATTCAGTGGTGAAACCACTGTTCAGCTATATCATCATTTTTTTCATACTCATTATATATTTCTCCTTATGAATATTCAGTGGTGAAACCACTGTTCAGCTATATCATCAGTTTTTTCATACTCATTATATATTTCTCCTTATGAATATTCATGGGTTTCCTTATGAATATTCAGTGGTGAAACCACTGTTCAGCTATATCATCATTTTTTTCATACTCATTATATATTTCTCCTTATGAATATTCAGTGGTGAAACCACTGTTCAGCTATATCATCATTTTTTTCATACTCATTATATATTTCTCCTTATGAATATTCAGTGGTGAAACCACTGTTCAGCTATATCATCAGTTTTTTCATACTCATTATATATTTCTCCTTATGAATATTCATGGGTTTCCTGGTGAATATTCAGTGGTGAAACCACTGTTCAGCTATATCATCATTTTTTTCATACTCATTATATATTTCTCCTTATGAATATTCAGTGGTGAAACCACTGTTCAGCTATATCATCATTTTTTTCATACTCATTATATATTTGTCCTTATGAATATTCAGTGGTGAAACCACTGTTCAGCTATATCATCATTTTTTTCATACTCATTATATATTTCTCCTTATGAATATTCAGTGGTGAAACCACTGTTCAGCTATATCATCAGTTTTTTCATACTCATTATATATTTCTCCTTATGAATATTCATGGGTTTCCTGGTGAATATTCAGTGGTGAAACCACTGTTCAGCTATATCATCATTTTTTTCATACTCATTATATATTTCTCCTTATGAATATTCAGTGGTGAAACCACTGTTCAGCTATATCATCATTTTTTTCATACTCATTATATATTTCTCCTTATGAATATTCAGTGGTGAAACCACTGTTCAGCTATATCATCAGTTTTTTCATACTCATTATATATTTCTCCTTATGAATATTCATGGTTTCCTGGTGAATATTCAGTGGTGAAACCACTGTTCAGCTATATCATCATTTTTTTCATACTCATTATATATTTCTCCTTATGAATATTCAGTGGTGAAACCACTGTTCAGCTATATCATCATTTTTTTCATACTCATTATATATTTCTCCTTATGAATATTCAGTGGTGAAACCACTGTTCAGCTATATCATCAGTTTTTTCATACTCATTATATATTTCTCCTTATGAATATTCAGTGGTGAAACCACTGTTCAGCTATATCATCAGTTTTTTCATACTCATTATATATTTCTCCTTATGAATATTCATGGTTTCCTGGTGAATATTCAGTGGTGAAACCACTGTTCAGCTATATCATCATTTTTTTCATACTCATTATATATTTCTCCTTATGAATATTCAGTGGTGAAACCACTGTTCAGCTATATCATCAGTTTTTTCATACTCATTATATATTTCTCCTTATGAATATTCAGTGGTGAAACCACTGTTCAGCTATATCATCAGTTTTTTCATACTCATTATATATTTCTCCTTATGAATATTCAGTGGTGAAACCACTGTTCAGCTATATCATTAGTTTTTTCATACTCATTATATATTTCTCCTTATGAATATTCATGGTTTCCTGGTGAATATTCAGTGGTGAAACCACTGTTCAGCTATATCATCATTTTTTTCATACTCATTATATATTTCTCCTTATGAATATTCAGTGGTGAAACCACTGTTCAGCTATATCATCATTTTTTTCATACTCATTATATATTTCTCCTTATGAATATTCAGTGGTGAAACCACTGTTCAGCTATATCATCATTTTTTTCATACTCATTATATATTTCTCCTTATGAATATTCAGTGGTGAAACCACTGTTCAGCTATATCATCAGTTTTTTCATACTCATTATATATTTCTCCTTATGAATATTCATGGTTTCCTGGTGAATATTCAGTGGTGAAACCACTGTTCAGCTATATCATCATTTTTTTCATACTCATTATATATTTCTCCTTATGAATATTCAGTGGTGAAACCACTGTTCAGCTATATCATCATTTTTTTCATACTCATTATATATTTCTCCTTATGAATATTCAGTGGTGAAACCACTGTTCAGCTATATCATCATTTTTTTCATACTCATTATATATTTCTCCTTATGAATATTCAGTGGTGAAACCACTGTTCAGCTATATCATCAGTTTTTTCATACTCATTATATATTTCTCCTTATGAATATTCATGGTTTCCTGGTGAATATTCAGTGGTGAAACCACTGTTCAGCTATATCATCATTTTTTTCATACTCATTATATATTTCTCCTTATGAATATTCAGTGGTGAAACCACTGTTCAGCTATATCATCATTTTTTTCATACTCATTATATATTTCTCCTTATGAATATTCAGTGGTGAAACCACTGTTCAGCTATATCATCAGTTTTTTCATACTCATTATATATTTCTCCTTATGAATATTCATGGTTTCCTGGTGAATATTCAGTGGTGAAACCACTGTTCAGCT